CGAAACCGTTGGCGCTTTTATTGATTTATTTTGTAGGCCGGCAAAAGGATTTGCTGTGGATGGGGCCTGAAGTTTAGCCGAAGAGTGCTGGGCGTGCCGTGCCAGGCCAGCAACTAACTGAACAAAAATGACATCAGCCCAGGACTCATTGTGACCTGCGCTCCTGCCGAACGGCAAATGGCCCAACTGTGGGGTGGCATGGGCTCGGCTAATATACCGTTTGACGATAGTAGAGAGTATCTTTCAGTTGCACACTCTTGGCTGAGGCATTCCTAATTGTTCTCGCTAATATTTGGACATTTGTACAGTTGTTGAGGCCAACATTCTGGCTGTCCCCGGTTGCTGGCCACCAAATGACGCAATTTTCGACTGCGTGGCCAGCTGTTTTAGCCAATTAAGTGGCGAGCGTTGCGAGAGGCAGCAGAGCGCGCGTACACAAATGTGCCGCTACAAGCGTTTAATGACAGCTGAAAGTTACAAAAGTATCTCACAGATACAAATGTCTACAACAGATATTAATGTATCTTTTAGATACAAATTTATGATATCGTCACAGGTGTAAATATATCTCATAGATACTAGAGAAGCTTGCAAATGCAAATGTATCTTGCAGATAAAAATGTATCTTATAGATGCAAATGTATCTAACAACTACAAATGTATCTTTTATATGCAAATGTATCTTACAGATACAAATGCAAATGTATCTTACAGATACAAAATGTATCTTATAGATGCAAAAGCACAAATCCAAATATATCTTACAGATACAAATGTATCTCAATTGAATATCTATTTCATAGATACAAATATATTTTGTAGCCACAAATGTATCTCATACAAATGTATTTTACAGTCGCAAATGTATCGCACAGATACGAAAGTATCCGCAACAACCGAACAGCATCAAATTATTAAACATAAACATATCAAAGCGAACGCCAAAAAGAATTGGAAAAATATACTTATATCAACAATTAAATGCGAAACAATTCTTGGGGCGTTTATTTTTAATTTTTAATTCTTAAAAATAAAAGCATGAACATAAATCCGAAAAGCAAAAAAAGGCGCGTGAGCCAAACGCATATCGGCATCGATGATATCATAAACTCAACAGCATCAAAAACAAAAACTATAAAAGCGAACAACAACAAGAAGAACAACAGACAACATTGAAGAGACATCGAGGCAACGATCAAATGGAAGAAATTCACTTTTTGTTTTCAAATATTTTTTTTAAGATTTTAAATATTTTTCTTAAATTTTGTATCGTTACGAAAACGGGTTTCAATACAAAACAGCCAAGCCAAAGCAAGATTTTTCTTTAAAAAAAATCATTTCTTTCGCTCACTTTTGGCTCAGTTTGAGAGCATCAAAACGATGTTTCATGTTTAGATATCAAATTTCTATAACAAAACAGCAGAAAAGCAATTTTACTGTATGGAAAAGGCATTTTAATAGGCTATAAGGTTTCCATAAAGTCCTTAATGGAAAAAAGACCCCTGACTTTAGCTTGCAAGTGCAAAATCATGTCAACGTATCGGATGCCAAAGCCAATAAGCGGCTCAGTTTTCAGTGAAAATATTTGAAATGTTTTCGAATATGTGTCAGGATTGATCAATTCGAACAGATTAAAGCGCATAGTTATAGCAGTAAAGCTTAATTAACAAACTGGCAGACAAGACCGAGAGAGTGAGCGGAACAGCAAGAGAGTATGATGTCTAATGTCTAATGTCAAATGGCAACTAACAAATGACAATAATAAATAAACGAAGCATGACCAACAGCCATGAATGTGCCACATGCGTGACTCTCTCCCTCTCTCTCTCTCTCGCTGTCTCTGTCTTGCCTTAATTTATAAGAGTCTGGAATGCCTCGTCTCTTTGCTTTTTTAACTACATAATGAAGCGCTTTAATTATGTTGCCACTATATAAAATATAAATATAAAAATATGCATTAATTGAAGAAACTGGAATGTCGTCGTCGTCGTTGTTGTTGTTGATTCTTTCTATTTTCCAATAAGTTATTTTTGTACTGCTATCGCTTTCAATTGAAGAACGTTAAGAATTTGTAATTAAGCCCAATGGGGGCGCCGACAAATTGGAATTATAGAAAGGAAACACAATTAACGTACCTCTATGGAGCAAACTGGAGTGGAAAACGTCAGCTCATTAGAAGCACTTTATCTACATATATTTAGCTGCTCTATTCCAAGTCGGAACGCGATCAGATCAGAATATAATTTTACAAGGTTAAAAAATTGAATTCATTTCTCTTCATCTTTTAAACGAAATTTACCCGCGCTGAGGTCGACACATATCCAATGATGATGTCATCGAAATCGAGCATATGAGAAGAGGCATATGTGCAGACTGGTCGACTAGACGATACCCTAACCACAGGCAGTAGAATGTAAATGCCGAGAATCACTTGTTAAGCGAGATTAAATATTTAAACTGAGACAAATGTTTATCTATATATAAATATGCAGATATATTTAAATGGCTGCCCACTATGATACATATGCATCATGCTAATAGATTTACAGGGTATACTAAAATTGAATATTGCTTTTTTTTAACGAGTTTTCAGCGTTTGCCGAAGATCTTGTCATTTATGTAGAAATACATGCCTACTTACATACATACATACACTCATGCATATATTTATTTCGTACATTTGTATGTTTCTATTTAAATCGGTTGTTAGGCTTAATTTACGCAGCTGACATAACCCCAAACTTGATCGCTTCAATTTTTTATTTCTAGTATACATATAATGAATGAATGTATGTATGTATGTAAGTACATTCACAATTGATGAGCTTTTTTAGACCAAGTTATTATTGCGACCCTCAATAAAAGCAAATGCTATGCTAATTTTGGGTCGTGGCGATGTCAGCGTCTGCGTCAGCTTCGGCGTCGAAGTCAACGTCAGCTGCTGACACCGCTGGGGCGTAACGGTTGCGCAGAAACGATGACGTCGTCAGCTTTGCTGCTGCTGCCACTGCGCTGACCGCATAGAGTAGGCAAGAAAATCGTTTTAAAAGTTATGTGCTTTACGCAGAACAACAACAACAACATCAGCAGCAAAAGAAACAGCAATAACTTGAGCGAACAATACCAATTGAGCGTCGGCAGCGACGCTGACAGCGCTGATCTTCAGAGTGCTGCCAGATCGCTGCCAAGCTGATGTCGTCAGTCAGCGCTGCTACAGCCCCACCTTAGTGGACGCTCACATAGACATAGACACACACACACACACACACACGCAGACAAACAATAAGCGCGAATTAAGATTGTATGCATGTGAACTACAACTGTAGATGTCTGTTTGTGTGCGTGTGTTGATGTTGGCTTGTATTATTTTCGTGTTTGACAGCGGCTGCTACTTTTTTCTAGCAAAACCTGTTTTGAGCCAACAACAACAAAAATGTCTACCCAAGCTTGTTGTTTGTGCAGCAGCAGCAGGATAGAGGGAGACAGCGCGATAGTGTTGCGGAATGTCTATGGTTTTCTAATTAAAAATTGTATTAAACAGTGTTGCAAAATGTTGTCGACTTACCTGAGAGCCAAGTTCTGAGTATGATTTTGCCGCAAATTCATAATGAAACCCGGACAGCAGAAGCAATAAGATCAACAGCAACAACAACAAAGCAAACAGCAAGTGTCGCCCAAAAAAAGAAAAACAAAATCAACTTCAAATAAAAAAGCCAAAATGAGACAACATAGAAGCGTAAAAAAACACGCACACAACTTTAACAACGCGCCACGAACCAGGTAAGCCAGAAAGTGTGTGAGAGAGCAAAAAGAGAGCGGACGAAGCAGAGAGTGCAACCCACTCGAATCGAGTCAATTCAACTCAACTCGAGTCGGAGTCGAAACGGTGGCTTTGGCTGTCGACCGCTGTACACCTCTCTATGTATGTATGTGTGTTACAAACAAACACACACACACAGTTGCGCGCACATTAACATTTATATTCACATTGATGCAGAATTATAATTTTCAACAAACTGCAGAAAGCTGCTGCATTGGCTTTCGACTTCGACTCCGAATCCGATTTCAAATCCATCTCCAACTCCGAACTTGAATTGAGAGAGTAAATTGTGGGCTTATAAGTTTATGTTTTCAGCCAACTGAGTAAATAAACGAAAAGTTTTAAGCTTATTTGTTAAATCGTTTTTTTTTTTGTTGTGGCTATCGCTTTCGTTGCTGCTGCTGCATTGATTCTTGCTGTTGTTGTTTTTTGTTGTTGCTCTTGCAATTTATGCTGCTTGGCGTCCTACGCGTCGCCGTTGCCGTTATTGTTATTGCTCACTTGAATTTGCGCTCATTTTGTTTCATAGTAAATTGGCTATGTTGTTGAAATTAATTTTGGGCGCGGTGCCTACACGCACACGCATTCAGCCATACACACTCACATTCAATCACATACAACAGCTTGTATTAAATAAATAACGAATAAAAAAATTTAAAAATATTTTTAAAAAATGTTTTGATGCCATTTGGCAAATTCGTTAATTCATTTATTGATTTCGCTCTTAGCTAGTTTTGGCCAATTGTTGTATGTATTGCTTGTTTATGTATTTGTATGCAGCAGTTAATTTAAACAATTCTCACACACACACACCACACATAACACAAGAAAAAAATTTAAACAAGTAAATAAGAAAATTTTCTATGCCAGCAACTAACTACACACGGGCGTCAGTCTCTCTCGGTCAGACCGGCGCTGCTGCTGCTGCTGCTATACATACAAGACGAAGCACAACCGCGCGCAACAAAAACAAAATGAAGACTGCTCATGGCCAGTGTGGCAGCAAAGAGGCACACAAATTGTGGTTAAAATAATTCAGATGCATGGTCACACTAATCACAAAAGCAGCACAGCCACACTGTGTTATCGTTATACATCGATTACGCGCAATGTTGCTTTGCTACGATACGATAAGATTCGATAACTACCGCACGCAAGTGTGTGTGCTTGTATAAATTTAAGCTTTCGGCAAAGAGCCTAAACAAAAACAAGTTCAAAATAGTCAAACAACAATTTTAGTAACACAACAAAATTATTGTCGAAACACTTACCAAATAGTTAACAATTAATACTGGCCATTGGTTTTTGTTAAATGTTTAAAGCAAGCAGCATTTAAAAGCTGGCAGCTCCACAAAACGCAACGGAAAAATCGAAGTGTTTTAAATGTCAAGGACATCAAAAGGCATAACAAAGCAAACAACAAAAACAAAAATAACAGGAAGAGCAAAAAGCAGCGCAATAGCCAAGCAAAACCGATTAACGAGACTAGCTCCATCCAGGTGGAATGTAAAACTAAAGCCTAATCAACCACAGACATGTCCAATAATCCTGTATATGTAACGCCCGCGCAAAAGCCGCCAAATGCGAACAACTGCAGCAGCAGTAGTGGCAACGGCAGCGGCAGCAATGCAAACGGCGAATCGAAAGTGGCGTCAGGCACTGCTGTTGCCCACACGTCACTGGATGTAGGCGGGACGACAGCAATGCCTCAGGCGACTGGTCAGAACTGGACAGACGAGATGGATAGCCCGCTGTGGCTATCCTCGTTGCATAGTGTTATATTCATTATAACGTGCGCCTTGGCCGTTTTTATACTCTTTCGAAATGTCCTGACATGGTAAGCATAAAGCTCTCTCCCACACACACATATCTATGTAACGGTGTATTTGTTTACATTTGTAAAGCTTGATATATTTATACATCCATATGCTCATGCCTCTAACTAAAGCTCTGACCACACTGTGGGCTTTAAAGCTTTCAACGTTACTCCACATACCTTAACGGTTTACTGATCAACTACCTAAACGTGTGACGTCACAATTGCTGAATGTCAGATAAATTGATCAAGCTTGATTAAGTCGCTGCTTAAGGATAGCCCCCACAAATTGAATGCTTTAATTTGAATTAAAGTAAAGTCTCTGAAACTAATCAAAAATTTTTGATTAATGCACCAGTCTAAGAGATAAACAAGGATATATTTAACATATGAATAATGCTTTCAATATATAGCGACCCTATCACTTGTAACTCAACGGCTTACATGAGTTCTAAATGAAGAATTTATACCGTAGTAGCTTCCGACCCTTTATTCGAGAATATATGTATGTATACCACCTAATACTCGATTCATTGCTTGAACTAAACTAATTATCTGGGCCAAATCCATTCATGCGCATAATAGCATTTGCATATTATAGTAAATATATATATATATATATATATATATATATATATATATATATATTATATTCATTATATATATATATATAAACCTTTAAATTATATAAAAAAAAATGTTGACATTAAACTATCTATAAGTCGCGACCTTTGTGGTCAAGATCATGCATAGATCACTGCATATTTTCAAGCTGGCTAAATGTTCATTTCTAAAAAGCTCGAGCTTTGAAAGCTTAATGTAACGGACGAAACGCGTGAGTAGAAACATGCAAAGATTTGAGTGCAATAAAGAAAAGCGTTCTTCCAGCTAGCCTTTCTACCCCTCTCTCTTTCTCTCTCCCACTCTCTCTGTCTGGCTCTCCTTGTCTTTCTCTCATTTTATATGGCTTTATGCGGGCTGAGCTGCGCTTTCTCATTCCACATTGTGGCCCTAAAATCAGTTGCTCGACGGCCGCCGACTGAGCGACAGCTACAGAACATTCGCTGAGATTCTATTTATTTTATTTTTGTTTATTTTTGTGTTTTATTTATTTTTTTTTTGGCTATTTACCTGTGCGTTTAATGGAGAAATTCAATGAGTTTTCTTACCTGCCCACTAGGCATTTGCAGAGCTTCTGGGGCGCCTCCGGAGACTTTTGGCAATCGCAGTGGGACAAGTTCATCGACATGTTCGGTAAGTTGGCCAAAACAAACGCAAAAGAGAATGCGCAAAAGATAGAAACAGACGAAAGAAGTGAAAGAACAAAAGAGATTCTCGTTGAGTGCGCATGCACTCAAGACTAAATCCATGTGTGGCTGGGTGTGTGCGTGTGTGTGTATTTTAGTTTGTCTTTGTATTTGTGTTTCTTTTCTTAATTTCGCTTGGCTTTTTAACGTCAGATATCGCAAATTGCACTCACATCCAGAGGCAACAACAACAACAACAAAACTAAACAAAGTCAACAATAAACAGCAACTGTTTTGTTTACTAATTCGCACACACACACACAGTCAAAGGCTAAACGAGCAACGCAGATTACACTGTGCAACACAATTGCATTGCTCAATGAGGAAAGCTTTATTCATCCATATCTCAATTAAAAGCGTTTAAAAACGATAACAAATATTTATTTTTATAATTTATATTATTTAGTATAAAGCGTATTTGTATGTAGACTTTTTACTGTTATGATTCCGTATTTACTGTAGAGTGTTGAGTGTATTGCAAGCGCTCGATTGGTCGCGTTTATTTGTTTAAGTGAACGATTTATTTATGCTCATTTAAATGTATTTAAGATAAAAAAAAATGATAAATTTTGCACGGGGGCAGCAAGGAAAGCAAATACTAAAACTTTAACTGAGCTAAATGTATATAAAAAGGAACTTTATTTAGATTAAAGCTAAAGGAAAAACGCAACTAAGCTTTAAGCTTTACTTAAAGCTAGTCAGCAAATCTGATTATGATAAAGCACAAGCTTACTTAAGAAATATTTGTGTATAGAATATAAATTGAAATTGGATAGAAAGTTTGGAATATGAAGCTTAACTCATGGACGGACTAAAAGTTCAGATGAAAACTTATTTTGAATAGTTTTATAGGTGAATTAAAATCATTAAACCTAGCTATAAACAGTCTAGTAAAGCGATACCCATTGAGCTTTATTCTCTGCGAAGATCGTAATACGTGCTTACCCTATCCAATAATTATATGCTCAACTATAAGCACGTATGTAGGTACATACATAGCCGGTCAAAGGTCATTTAACTTTAGCACTCAGATCTATTAATATTTATTGCTATTGCCTCTAGACGGGAATTACGTGATGAATTTCATGTAGTTGTAGATCGACGTTTACAATAGATCTTGCCTTGTGATAGGTATTTTGAAATGATGATAATGCTAATGATAATGATAATACTGGTATAGATAGTGTTAAGGATAAGGAAAATGATCATGAAATCCATAATGATAATGCTGATGATGACTATAATGAAAGTGCTAGTGCTAGGGATAACGAAATTGATCATGTAATTGCTCATGATAATGAAATTGATCGTGATAATGAGAATGATGAATAGGATAATGAAAATGATCAAGCAATTTATCATGATAATGAGAATAATAATAGAAAGGGTAGTATAATAATGAAAAGTATCATGAAATTAATAATGGTAATCCTAACGAAAATGAAATTGATCATGATAACGATAATGAGAATGAGAATGATGTGATCAGAATAATGAAATTCATAATGATTGTTTTAGGGATAATGAAATTGATCATGATAATGCAAATGATGATCATAATGATTAGGATAATGAAAGTGATAATGAAATTAATCATGATAATGATAATGATGTTAATAATAATAATGCTAATGCTAATCCTAATGATTATGTTAATGCTAATAATGATAATGATAATGATAATGATAATGATAATGATAATGATAATGATAATAATAATGATAATGATGATGATGATGATAATGATAATGATAATGATAATGATAATGATAATGATAATGATAATGATAATGATGATAATGATAATGATAATGATAATGATAATGATAATGATAATGATAATGATAATGATAATGATAATGTTAATGATAATGATAATGATAATGATAATGATAATGATAATGATAATGATAATGATAATGATAATGATAATGATAATGATAATGATAATGATAATGATAATGATGATGATAATGATAATGATAATGATGATGATAGTGATGATGATAATGATGATGATAATGATAATGATAATGATAATGATAATGATAATGATAATGATAATGATAATGATAATGATAATGATAATGATAATGATAATGATAATGATAATGATAATGATAATGATAATGATAGTGATAATGATAATGATAATGATAATGATAATGGTAATGCTAACGATAATGATAATATTAATGCTAATAATAATGATAATGCTAATTCAAAATTATAATTCTAATTCTAATGATACTGATAATGATAATGCTAATGATAATGATATTGAGATCGATAATAATGACAATGATACTTCTATCAAAAACAAAAGATTTATATTTATGTATAATACTCTGTTCACAGGCGATGATCCGATGATGCTGTGGGTCTTTGGCACAACCTTATTCACGATGATTGTGTACTGGAGCGTGGGTGGCATTTATACATTCATGGATATGACCAATCGACCGGCCTGCCTGCGCAAATATAAAATCCAGCCGGGCACCAATGAGCCCGTCGAAGCCGGACGTCTGTTGAAGGTGACGAATACGCAATGAAATTTGATTGAATTGGCCTGAGGACTGCAATGTCGCCCTATCTGTTGCAGGTCATTTGGCGTGTGATTTGTAATCAAATCTTTGTTGGCATCCCGCTGGCGTTTCTCAGCTACAAACTGATGACGGTGCGGGGCCTGAGCGATATACGGGAGCTGCCCACATTTCACTGGGTCTGTTTCGAGCTAACCGTATGCATATTGATGGAGGAGCTGGGCTTCTACTACTCGCACCGTCTGCTCCACCACAAGCACATCTACAAGTTCATACACAAGCAGCATCATGAGTGGACCGCACCCATATCGGTCACGGCCATCTATTGCCATCCGATTGAGCACATATTCAGCAATTTGTTGCCGCCGTTTCTGGGCGTATTCCTGATGGGTAGTCACGTGGCCACGGCTTGGCTGTGGTTTGCACTGGCCATACTCTCCACGCTGAATGCCCACTCCGGCTATCACTTGCCCTTCTTTCCCAGCCCCGAAGCGCACGACTTTCATCATTTGAAGTGAGTGAGAAATTCAGTTCGCAAATATTTATCAATTTGTCTAAGCCAATAGACGTTAACTATTTCTAGTCTCTGTTTAATTTTTATTACAAAGCACCTATATATGAACTCGCTTAGGCTTATCTGAACTTTATGGCATTATCAAGACTGTTTAGTCTATATTTATAGCCGAGGCCATAAAGCCCGTCCGTTAATCTAAGCTATAAACTCTGATCTGCTCTAATGTGTAAGCGTAGTTAGTTAGTATGACTGTCTCTTAGCTGATCAGACTACTATATCATGCATTGGATCATAGATTTGATGTGCTCCGAAGAAACAGAAATTTTTATTTATATATTTTACATATTTACATATTTTTCTAAGCTTAAACTTAGCATTATTTTATAGCTTCAAAGAAAGTAAATTCTTGGACTTGGAGTGCTTGACTTTGACAATGTTTATAGAAGAAAAGTATGCTATATAGATTAGAATATTATATCAAGGATATTTGGTTAAGCTTCCTCTAACATGACCAAGTACACTTATATATATATAAATATGCCACATATATATGAATATGCCACTTGAATTCTTTCAGATTTAATAATTGTTTCGGTGTTCTGGGCGTCTTGGATCGTCTGCATGGCACCGATTCGCTGTTCCGCGCTACCAAATCCTATGCGCGTCACATTATGATGCTGAGCTTTGTGCCGCCGCGCGATGCCTTTCCCGACTCGACCATGAAGTGAAGTCTAGCAGCTCTCCTCGTCTAGCAGTCGCTCCTCTGTACCCTAGCTGCTCCTATCCAACAGGCACATGGAGATGTATTTGTTTGTTTTGTTTTGTTTTTTGTTTGTTTCTTTTTTTGTAATTTCTAATTTCTAAATGTGCACACATTGTGATAATAGCCAAGCTGGAAAAACAGATCGGGACATTTAACAATTATTCAGAACCGACGAACGTGCTGTAAATGTGTATACCAGAAGCAAAAACAAAAACAAAAACCAAACACCAAAAAAAAAAAAACAGATGGAGAAATCGATTTAGTAGTAAGCACTAATGTATGTATGTACACTTCGCACACAGCACGATCTAAAAACAATAATGGCAAGAACAACAAGAGAATATAAGAAATAAATAAGAACGAACCACACACAGAGATTTCCTGAACTTTGGCCACAATAATTCGTTGTACTCCCGCTGATTAAAATAGAACTAATCTATGAATTTAATAATACCTAGCAATAGTTAATCTCTTATAAATGAACTGTGACAGAACAATAACAATTCAGGCGAATCAGTGAAAAGTTAACGAAAAAAGTAAGCCCAGGCACCGCACATAGCACTCTGAATGCCCTAAGATTGGCATAAGAAATTTACAAAAATTCGCCAATGAAGTTCGAAGGTTTACCGAGTCTAGAATTGCTAGTAAAATGCAATTTTCTTGTAAGGTTCTTAGTATATTCTTAAAGGTTATATCTTATTATATTATAAAATCAAAGCAATTGCTTTAATAATGCTGAGACTACTACAAAACTCCGTGACTGGCCGAAAGAGAGTTTGAGTAAGGAGGGCCGAACTCGTAACAAAATGTTTTAGTTTTAAAATGTTCCCAGTTTTTTTTTTTTTGAAATGTTGAACTATAGCCTAAAGATACAATACACTGTATTGTTAAAAAAGAAGTAGATTGTGATATGGGAGGGTTTCAAGCGGGCTGCCGGCTCAAGCTGATGTGCCCATTGGATTGTAGCGCAACATGATCGAAACGCATATAATTGGTGCGTCTTGCAGCTAATAGTTCAGCTTTAGCCATGGTCGCAGCCACAGTCCTCTCCAGCCTTGCCCTGCGCTGGCGCTATGCCGGCGAATCGCTGCAGGCGCGCTGGACAACGTTGCTCGATGTCATCGGTGATGATCCGATGCACTTGTGGGTGTACGGCACCACAATTATCATATTTTTCGTCTATTGGATCTATGCTGGCATCTTTACCATCATGGACATAACCAATCGTCCGAAATTCCTGCGCAAATACAAAATACAGCCGGGCCAGAATGAGCCGGTCGACTTGGGCCGTCTGTGGCAGGCCGTGAAGGTGGTCGCATTTAACCTGACTGTGGTGAATTTCTTTACCACCTGGATGCTCTACGAGGTGTCTCTTAGGCACAACAATATCAGCGATATCCGGCAATTGCCTAGTTTTGGACGCATCGTACGCGACTTTGTCATCTTTGTCATCATGGAAGAGACGATGTTTTACTATGTGCATCGCCTGATGCACCACAGATCCGTTTACAAATATGTGCACAAGAAGCACCATGAGTGGACGGCGCCCGTCGCTGCCATGTCCCTCTATGCTCACCCTGTCGAGCATGTGCTAGCTAATCTGCTGCCAGTGGGCATATCCGTATCTCTGCTGAGTACCCATGTTGTTGTTGCCTGGGCCATTATATCGCTGGCGGTCATAAACTCAATGAGCGATCATACGGGCTATAGTTTTCCCTGGTCAGGCGGCTCTGTTCGCTTCCACGACTATCATCATGCCAAGTAAGTGGCAGGTGAACTTCAAAAGTGAATTGCAATCCTAACGTATTTCCTAATCGCAGGTTCAATTACAATTATGGCGTTACGGGCTGGCTGGATAAGCTACATGGCACCTTTAGGGCCACTCATGTCCAGAAACAGCAGCGATCAAAACCCAAGGCCATTAGGAGCAAGCGCAAAACAAAATAATTACAATTTATACGCCACACAAGCGGTTGTAGTAAATGTTGCAAATAAATATTAAAATTTTAAATGTATTTCTGTTTTTAAATTGATTCCAGTGCAACCCTGTTTGTCATATAAATACTGGAGCTTTTATATTTTTAATATCGATAACTGTAGAAAACTGACGTTAGAGCAATTATTTTCACTTAGCAATCTATCCACGGTAAGCAGTCGAATATTCATAAGATTCGGGGGCTCCTTTGTGGTACTTAACCAAGCATAACTTATTTGGTTATATTATTCGACTTAAACAATTTATTGTTAACGATAACGTACTTGAGTAACGATTACGATTAATTTTTCTTATTGTCATGAACTATCATCAGCTGTTCAGTATCGATATAAGTATTCAACTGTAATATTTATTTCTAAAAAGAAGATTTGCCCTTAGGACGTAGAAGCAATCTGTTCGAGTGTAAATTTGAAAAAAAAAAGAATTAAAATGAATCGCAGTCGCAGGAACGTGGTTAATAAACAATTTGTTTCGGGTGGCGTTTATGTAAGTTGAAATATTTATATTTCTAATAATTGTATATACACACACAAACATACATATATACATATATGTATAAAAATGTATTTCATGATCGATTACTCATTCACTAGCGTGTCTTTAATTTCATTCCGTTTTTATTGACAAATGTGTATGCATTAGCGTACTTTTGCATATGTAACATCACATAAAAACATCTGTAAGATAGATATAAGCGGTCTATATATCTATATAATTTTGCAATCTTACATATATACATATGTATGCACGTATGCTGTTTCTATTGCGCATACACACACGTTATGCGTGGTTCTAATCGATACTGGTATACACACAAACATACATATATACATACATATGCACAGTTACAAAATTATCCATCACATAGATATGCACACACACGCACTGGTGTCTCTGAGTGCGTTGTGCGTGCATGTGTGTGTGCGTGCGTGCGCGCGTTTGTATATACATGCATGTGCCAATGTACATGAATGTGTATGCATTTGCATTCATTTTTTTAGTTTATGTTTTGTTCTTTTCTCTTTTGTTGTCATATTTAAAATACGATTTTTGCAATAATAGTAATTCTATTTTTATTTATATAATTTACAGCGCACAAATTGAAAATGTGTGTCTCAAACCAATTGTGAATTTATTTGCAATAGCCAATAAAAGTTTCTTTAATAGCAAGTGCCAAGAGTTTTTGTCCAGCCCTGCAACTGCTGAAACCAAACAAACACATACACACACACTCACGCACGCACGCACAAATACAGAGACAGACTCACATAACGTGACTGCATTAGTTTTGGACAATTAACGGAAAGAAAGAGAAAAAAAAACAGCTGGACTTGCTATTTTAGTTACTTTTGTGGCTGCTGAAAATCAATTCATCCAAAATTGTAACTAAAATTATTAGTTTTGCGTTAGATAGCGATGCTCATTTACTTCACTTGAGTGCCCAAACGAAGCACGAGAACGCCAATTCGAGATGATCAAACGCTTGGGCTACGCAGTTGCCGCCGTCCAACCCGGCTAGCTAGGTGGTCCAGGTTGACGGTGCCCAGTGGCCAAGGGTTTGATTAAATGTGATTATGATTAACGTAAACGATGGGTTGGCTCATGGTTTCGTTGGTGCACCGCGTCTGCATGATTCGTTTGGGCACTTTGGGTTGTAGGAGTGGTCATGGCTATTCCTGAACTATGGTTTTTAGTAGAACCGCCGGTACACGTGCTGCGATTCAAGCCAACGCCCACGCAGTTAGTAGATCCCTTGAATGGCATGTAAGACATTTCGAGACATTGGTATACATATGGGCAAGGGGGCGAAACAATTGTTCCGCCCTAGCCTTTAAGCTTGAGCCAGAGGCGTGGCCTAACCGTAAACGTAATCTCTTAAATTCTAATTATTATTTAATTTTGTTTGTTTTTTTTTTTTTTAATTTGCATAAATAAACATAATCTAATTGAGTTTTGTAACAAAAAAAATATCTATACGTAATGAAGCTAAAATTATTTGAAATTCGTCCAAACAAAAGCCAAATATTTTCAATTCAAATATTTATTATTTACTGCAAATATTTACGGGACACGCTGAATAAAATAGTTAAATATCAAAGCTATATTTATTTTCGAATTAACGCACGAATTGAACTGGAAATCCTGAGATGCAACCGAAAACAAACAAAATTTTAGTTTCTTTTTATTTTGATTTCATTTTGCTAGCGTAGGGCGAAGCGCAAATATATGTTTTTCTTTTGTTTAGTGGAAAGCAAGACGACAAAAAGAAAAATATATTTGCTTCACTGTGCTGGACGCTAATTGATAATCGATCTTCTTGTTTAGAATCCAAATGCATCCGCCGCTCAGCAGTCGCCGGTGCTGGCTGTGCCAGCTGCGCAGCCAGTCAAGCTTCTGCCGGCGGAGAATCCGCAGCAGATGTCCAGTGCAGTCAAGGAAGAGCCTTCGGCTAATACCAGCGATGGCAGTGAGGCCATCGATACTAGCTCCACCAATGACAACAATGAGTTTAACAATGCCATCGAGTCCGACAATGGTGGAAAAATTCCATTTAAGAAAATATTTCAGAAGCGCAAGAAGTCATCGGGTAAGTAGAAACGTCTCAAATAACCCAATTGCATTTGACTTGATTTCATTGAGTTTTGTTCTTTTATTCTAGAACGCACTCGCGATAAGAAATTGCGCCAAAATCGACAGCTGCGCAAGTCTATGTTGCCGAAGAACGCGCTAATGGCCCTAAATGAGGTAAAGGGCATTAACATTAGCGACTTTACCATTAACAGCAATCCGGATGGCGGCTTCACGGCCATAGTCACCGTAAATACCAAGCAGTACGAGGGCAAGGGACCGTCGAAGATGGCCGCCAAGAATTTGGCTTGTGAGAAGGCCTTGCGCGATTACATCATAGCCAAAATGACGCCAAAGCCCAAGAAAGCGACAAAGCCGGCTGCCGAGGCCGAGGTGGAGGATGACGCTGAGGGCGACGCTGAGCCCATGGACACTGAGAACAGTGAAAATCCGCCGGAGGATGAAGTGCCGATGTTAAACCTGGCTTCCTTCGCCATTTACAAGCTATTCGCCGAGTGGGAGCGTGAAGGTTATGTTGTGCCCGAGATGCATCCATCAGCTACAAACTCATCGGCACCGCAAGCCGATCAAAACTCTCCAAATGCTGCGGCCGTTGTCATCACACCAAAGGAGCCCAAGAAGCCACCCGTGCGCACCGAATTGCCCATGAATTGGGAGATAATGCATCCAGCTACATTATTATGCGTGGTAAGTGCGCCAATCCAGTTACACCTGCACGAGCTGATTGATAATATATTGATTTATTATTTACAGATGCGTCCGGGGCTTTCGTATATAGACCATGGCTCCTTCGGCGAAAAGCCGAACGTGCTTCAACGGTTGAGCGTCGTCGTAGACAACAAAGAGTTCACCGCCACCGGCCGGTCCAAGAAAATAGCACGCCGGAATGTGGCTGTACATGTTTGCAACAAGTTGTTCAATACAAATTTCATATATGAGGAGTATTAGGCAGCTGTCTATATCTTAGCCGAATCTTAGAAATGTAATTATGTAATATGTCCCTACAACTTATACTCGATCACAATGGAATGAGAGTATATTATTTTCCTGTAATGTCTGTCCGTCCGCTGATCAAAAGCTCATACAAATTTGAGTGATACAGAATCGGCAATATTTATATTTCCAATAGTTTACGAGTTAAACTGACTAAAAAATAAACTACTGACTCCTCCAAATGTGAACCCAAGCCCAATGTCAAAATGTTGAAAGCTTAGAAAATCAAGAGCTTTGAGCTGTTTTTGAACTGTGTACGAGTATAATGTGGTCGGTTGCATCCGATCCTAACATTCTTACTTGTTAATTGCTTGAATATACTTCTACAATTTGACATTATAATAAAAAAAAATGCCCACATGACTCTTACTAAGCGTGTGGTGCGTTTATAAATATAGCATAAATACGAATGTATGTATGTAGTTTTATCATTATTTTTCTTAACTGTAATAAAAAACCAAGCAAAATCTAAGTTTCTTCAGCTGTTCACCACTTCAGCTTTCAGATGAATCATATGATACACAATAATCGACTATTTTGTTTCATTACACGATTTAACTGTATCGCAAAATGGGTTTTGAATAATCGAGACAATCGATTATTTGCTCAAAAAATCACATCGTTATAAGCAACATTGGCGCGCAAAAGTTGGAAAGCGAAGCGTAATTAAATGACACGGATGTGAATTGCCAATTGTGCCAAAAGCAATTGAAGTATTGTAAAAATACAACCAATATGCTTCAGCACTTAAAACTCAAACATACGAAAGAGTTCGCGTCCCTCAAGATGCTAAATTTAACAATATTAAGCTCCCAAATATCGGCAATGAACATTCTGAAGTTGAGGGGGACAACATGGAAATCTCGCAACCAAAAGCATTCAAAAAAAATCATTTGATTAATCGATTTTTTCATTTTTCCGAGATTAATTGCAATCAATCATTAAAGCACCTAAAATAAATCATATGATTAAATAATCTAACAATGATTTTTTTGCCATCACTAATCGTGGAATCACTTCAAGTCCAATTGAATAAAGTTCTTTAGGCAATGAAATCGTGTAATCGATATTTGTTATCATGTTATAAGTATCGTATAAGTATAATTACATATGCAATTAGACTGCCTGGCCACATCGAGCAACAGCTGATCATTGTTAGTACATAAGAGGCTAGAGGGACATCGATATAAATTATAACAAATAAATTGCTGCGCAATGTCGAAATTAATTTCATACGCTACCAAGCAAACTTTACGTAATACGCGTCTTGTTGCTAAGCCAATGTATGTAAATATATTGTTCTGTTGAATTTTCCAAAGAAGCTCATTAAATCATGTTTAGTTGTCAGCATGCAACCAGAGACTACATTCAGTTGGGCGCATCGGCCGCGGCACGTAACACATATTCGACTCTCGCTGTGGGATTAACAAATCAGTCGGTGCTCCGGCCGGCGGCGGTCACAGTCCCGGTGTTGGGAAACATTACAAAGCGCAGCATGTTTATTCAGACGCAGGACACACCGAATCCCGACAGCTTGAAGTTCTTACCCGGCGTTGAAGTGCTGGGAAAAGGAAATACATACGATTTTCCCAGTGCCATGGCAGCTCATTGCAGTCCGTTGGGTGAGCATCGTATAACATCTTGTCAGTCGACTTTACGATAGCTAATTTGATTGCAGCTAAGCTCTTGTTTCGTGTGGAAGGAGTTCGTGCTGTATTCTTTGGTGGGGATTTTATTACCATATCCAAAGAGGAAAGCGGAGAATGGGGCCTCATAAAGCCCGAAGTTTTTGCAATCATCATGGATTTCTTTGCCAGTGGCTTGCCCATACTGCACGAGGCACGGGCAAATGCAGATACAGAGATTCTAGAGGACGACGATGAGACCGTAATGATGATTAAGGAGCTCCTAGACACGCGTATTCGGCCAACAGTGCAAGAGGACGGCGGCGACATTGTCTTCATGGGCTACGAGAATGGCATTGTGAAATTGAAAATGCAGGGCTCGTGCTCATCATGCCCCAGCTCTATCGTAACCCTGAAGAATGGCGTTCAAAATATGCTACAGTTCTATATACCCGAAGTCGAGTCTGTTGAGCAGGTGTTTGACGACGCTGATAAATTGGCAAATAGGGAATTTGAGCGCTTTGAAAAGAGTTTAAATCAAAAGGAGTCAACTACTGCGCCAGTCAGCATTGGCGGCACACCAAACTAATAGTGTTTTGATTGTTACTATTCTTAGTAGGCTTAGAAACTATATATGTTTACTCAAATATTTGCTTATAACATTTAAATAATGTACAGCTTTAAATGAATACTTTTATAGTTTTATTGGGATACATAATGTATTTTATTGATTCGTAAAAAACAAACCACTAGCCATCGAATTTCAAGCCATTTAAACAAAATCGAAATGAAAAATTAATGTAAAATGATATAGAAGTTTGCGGCGAACTTTAACGAACGCAACAGTGTTAAATTATATCGATATCACAGTATCGTTTTAACTACGAGTCGTACACTTTATTGATAAATATTGTTATCGATATATATTTATATAGATGTGTGTATATTAAACTAGCTGTGGCATACTCATACACAAAACGAAGACGCGCATTAAACAAATTAATAGAATTCGAAAATTATAGCAATAATAAAACGTATGCAACTAACCTGAAACCCACCTTGTAATTAGAACCGAATACTAGCAGACACTAACAGCCGTGTACTTCAAATCAAGTGTATCCAATTGGACGACAAGTTTTGCAACCCGCATAGAAATTGTAAAATATGGTCAGGCTTTTCACACTGAGTGTCTTTTTCAAGGGTGCCAGCGAAGCGCGCTTATTGAAGACAACCTCTGATTTACAGTCCTTTTCGTTTTTTCAACGTGGCACAGTCAACGAGTTCATGACGTGAGTATTAAACTTTCAGCTCGGCTTCACGGCGACGGCGCAATTGGGGCCCTCGTTGACCCATAATTTGCCCTATTTATCACATATGTTTGTAAATCTCATAGCTTTGCGTCAAAGACGATTGTGGAACGCACCCAGCCGGCGCTGCGGCAGTCTGTCAAACAGGATGCCTACATGTGCCATGTCTATGTGCGGGCTGACAACTTGGCTGGCGTTCTTATCGCCGATCACGAGTACCCGCACCGTGTTGCCCACACGTTAATTACAAAGATATTAGATGATTTCACGGCCAAGGTGTCGGCCGACCAATGGCAGAACGGCACCGACTCGAGCATTGCGTTTGATTCGTTGCCCGCATTTTTGACCAAATACCAGGACCCCAAAGAAGCGGATCCGCTAACGAAAATGCAAACCGACTTAGACGAAACCAAAATCATCTTGAAGAACACAATTGAATCTGTGCTGGAGCGTGGCGAAAAGCTGGAGGATATGGTCACCAAATCCGAGCAGCTATCAATGCAAAGCAAGGCATTCTACAAGACAGCGAAAAAGACCAATTCCTGTTGCAGCTTCACCTAAGTCCACATTGGGACACCAAACGAAACAGAAACACCACAAACAAACACCAACAAGAGGAAGACGGGCATATTACAAACTGCGAGGTCGCGGCATTGGCTTAGAATTTGTATGCTTTTTATATAACATAATTAGTTAATTTTATATTATACTATACTATACTATATATACTATACACACATAAGTATTTATACGTATGTTAATGTGTAATAACACTCATATATGTATGTATGTACGCCCGTAATGTGTGTTTAGCGTTCAACTTGGCATCTTGTTGTGTCTGCATGTCTAGGGTATAATGCTACAGATAATGTTATATATACTTATGTATATATACATGCATATGCAATTATACCAATACAATTATGATACACATACATATATATAGCTTCATATATATATATATATATGTATAAGCGCGCCTATTTGCAATATAAGAATATGTGTCTATCTCCTTCGATTATGTGCTCTGCTCTCATCACTTTTTGTTTTAAAATAGCTCTTGTCTCGTCTGCCCCGGTCCGGCTGCGATCCATTATTCTAGCTGGGCCTGTATATATTTAAGGTTTGCACTAAGTTTTAGACGGCCTAAGCGACTTCTAACTGCCGAATACTCAACAGATATCCAAAAAAAATAAACAAATTATTAAGCCAAATGTGAAATGTCTCAGATTCTCTTTCTCACATTTGTCGCAAGGGCCATGTAGATTAATTCTTATCAGTTCCGAGGCCTTATCACACTGTAAACATTAATGGCCAATTGGGCAATCAAATGCCAACTGACTAATGCCGCTAACTTCTTGAATTTAAGCCAGTAAAACATTTCGAAAATTAGTGTTCAAATGCACAATTATTTATTGAATTCACTTTCTGGCCCCCAGGTCCTTTGCTAACCAAAGAGTTTCAGAGCCGAAATAGTTTTATTAAAAAAAAATGCTGCCTGCTGAGCTTGCTACCAAGTTAAAATCACATTGGTAATGGAATTAGTTCGCTCAGTGCAGATTCGAAATCAGCAATTCTATATGGTGTCAATTTAAAATAAGGCTTTAAGGCAACATTGGGCAAGTAGTCTTAATATTTTGTATTGAAGTGAGAAGAGTTGAGAGAGCGATTGAAGGAGCTGGCGGCGCACGCGTTAGGAGTGGAGAGCGCTCCTTCCCTGAGTATTGTTCAGTTTCGATGCTTGACGTGCATGGCCAAAAGCTTTGTTTTAATACGTTTTCGATCCCGCGAAATTATTTCCATTCGCTCCTTGATGCTCGTCTGAAAGAAGATCAGGTGCAGAGTGCGGCTGGCTGAGCACAGCTGTAAGTGGGTGAATAAAAAGAGAGAAAAATTGATAGAAAATTCTATGAATTGAAATGTTCATTTGGGGTGCATCACCTGTTGGAGGAGGCGTGCCTTAAGGCGTATATTGGCCGGCTCCTCCTGGTCGAGGCTGTTGCCGCATGTCTCCAGATGCAGGTTGAGCACAAAGATGAGCGTGTCCCGTATGGTCTGCACAATGCGCTGCACTTGCTCCGTTCGGAAGAGGCGGCGCACCAAAAAGCCGCGCGTGGCCGCATTTAGAACTGTGGCGGCTATGTGACGTCGCTCCGTCTCCAGATCGAGCGCTGACAGCTGCTGGTGATGATCAGAGGGCGTGTTAATAACAAGTTGTGGTTCGTGTTGAGAAAGGCAATGGTTAGTTCGCTCGCGTGGCTTTTTTATTAAACAATCGATATGGAAACGTTTCAAATGCTTAGCTAATGTATTAACTATAGATTGGTTCCCAAACGGATTGTCCAAAGATTGGGCTAAGGCACTTGCTTGGCTTCGATACGTTTATCAATAGTTACTTCTTGGCCACAAAACGCTTCTGCTTGTTGCGTGGCAACAAGTCAAACAAAAACAGCATTCGAAACAAGTTAGGACAGAAGAAAGGAAGAAATTTTCAGGTTAGCATTATTGCCCAACTCTGGGCGCACTGCCAAGCTACTTACAGTCGAGCGGCTCGGCGAGCCACTGCGTCGGCTCTTGGCTATTGTTAGCTGCTGCTGATTGCGTGAGTTGCCGTTGTTGGTCAGCGTTGGGGTCTTGTTAACGACTCTTCGCGTCGGCGGCGACTTGGCCGACGGCACTGGACTGATCGCATTCTTAGACCCCGGTGGCTTTGAATGGTTCCGCTGTATACCCTTTTTAATTTTGCTGCTGTTGCTGCTGTTGTTGTTGCTGTTGTTGCTGTTGCTGGTGCTGCTGTTGCTGTTAGTGCTGTTGTCGTTGCTATTCCTGCTGCGCAATGGCAGGGCTCTGGGTGAGCTGGCGGCACTCTGCAGCAGCTCCATTGGCACTTCCGATTCGTTGTCCAAATCAAAGAGACGTTTGCGTGCCGTATTGGATGCAGACTCCTCAGGATTGTCCTGTTCGAGCAGCTCATCGAGCTGTGTAAGGTCCATGGAAATGGGTGTAATCGTGTTGCTCGGTGAGGATCGTGACGGCGTTGGCAAATCATCGGTGCTTGTGTACTCGGAAACGCCGATCGGGCTGCGCCCGCCGGAGAAGGACTCATGAGCGTACGCGGACACATTAATCTCCGTGCAAATCTGTTCGATAAGAAACTTTTGCTGTCTATCAAACTCCTCCTGCATGCGACGCTGCTCCTCGTGCTGGTACTGAACCAGTTGCTGGAAGCGGTCCCGATGCGCGCTTTTGATGTCCTTAAACATTTGCTGCTTGGCCAGCGTCAGGTGCTGCTGATCAGCCACAGCATCGTTTGCCTCGTGCAGTGCACGTTGCAGCAGCTCCTCGAGCTGTTTCTGCTGTTGCTGATGTCGCACAGAGATGTCGCCACGTCTCCTATTACCAACACCACCACCACCACCACCACCACCACCAGCAGCAGCAGCAGCAGCAGATGAAGACTTGAGTGTGTCGACGATGCTGCTGCTGACACTGCGCTGCACTTGCTTGGCCTTCGACTCGACAGTGTCGCGTCGCAAATGCGCCAAGCTGTGCGCAGACGACACGTTGCCTGGCAGTGCAAAGCGACATCGCGGCGACACCGATGTTCCGACTGCGGGAGCACTGGCAGTCGTTGCTGGTGGCAATGGCACCGGCGGCTTTTTGCGCTCACGTTCCATGTGATCGACTAGCGCCTGGGACGGCTCGTCGAGCGTAAAAGACCGAGATCGATGCAACTGACACATATCCAGTTGAGCAGCGCTAAGCGAGGGACTGGTGCTTGAGCGCAGCATTCGCTTGTCCGCAACGGCCACCGTCTCATTGTGCCAGAGCAATTTGGCCGGCTGTGGCTTCTTGCCCAGTCCAGTATTCTCGAACTGCAGTATGCGGGTGGTTATGTTGTTCAGCTTGCGATGATGCGTGCTGAGCGACCGATTACTGCCTTTGGACTCCGGAGTTGCCGTACCCGAGTGCTTCGCCGTTTGCTGTTCGCACAGCGGCGTTGGTGGATTAACACAAATTGTTGGTATTACATTTGCTACCGACGAAGTCTTTGGCTCGATGTCAAGCGTTTGGGGACGCACAACGATTTGTTGCTGCGGTTGCTGTGGCAGTGGCTGTGGCTGTGGCTGCGGCTGCCGTGTGCTGTCATAGATAAAAGTCTCCGTTTGCTGCAGATGTGACAATCTTTGGGGGTTTTCCATGGCGCTATCGTTCAAGTCGCTGCTGCTGTTGCTACTGCTGTTGCTGCGGCTGCTTTTGTTGTTATTCGTGCTGCTGTCTACTGCTGCAGCAAGACGTTCTTCGTTTAGAGTTGTTGTCGATCTGGCGGCCTGTGCCTGATTGTACTTGGCCTCTAGCTCCATAGCTCGCTGTCGCAGCTGTCGCATCTGCAGTCGCTTCTCCGCTGTCATCTAGATTGATATGCTTGAGTGATGGCACGCCCGCAGTACCTCATACAGTGCTCTACTCACCAATGGCGGCAATATGGGCTGACCATCGATGCGGAACTTGGACACGTATTCCGTAGGCGGAGGCGGTGGCGGTGGCAGTGGCATTTTGTTAGAAATGGAATCGGAATCGGCATCGGCGTTGGAATTGGGATTGGCACTGGGTGTGTGCTGTGATTCCCTCGATATTGTGGCCTCATTTTGTTCCGCGGCGACACGCAGCAATTCCATCGCCAAGCTAACCAATTGGCAGCGATATTAACAAAAAAAAAAAAAAACAACAGAAAACAATTAATAGAGAACGAAGAACAACTTGCTCATGCCGACCTACCTTGCATTATCCATATCCATGGGCAAGTATTGTTATGTCTATGCACTTCGAATTTGGAATGCTGTTGAAAAATGCCAAGGCTTAGCTAGCGTGCCTTCTTTTTGTGTGCAAGAAACGCAACCCAAAAGCAACATCAAAAGCTAACAATTTGTTGTGCGTCCGTTGCTATGACAATTTCAAGGGCAAGTGCACACGCCGCTGTTTCATCTAGGCTAATATCAAAATAAAAAATAAAAACAAACAAAAAAAGAAGTGAGCACTACAAAATTAACAATTGCTTTTGTGTGCTACTTTTTCTTTTGAGCCTGCCAGATTGCCTTGGTTTTTAAATTCAATTTTCATTGCAACAAGTTGACAGCTCCAGCAGGCTGCGCGCTCGGATTGTGCATGTGAGTTAACATACGATGTGCAGGCATAGTAAATGCCATCGATATTAATGTTGATTTTTAAATTACTATCGATATGTCGATGTATCTGCAGTAGAACATTGTATTAACATTAGCGTAACATAGCATTTGATATCGTGTTGCGCGTTTCGTAGCTGTTGTTATTATCACTTTTTTGTTTTTGTTTATTGTGCCGTTAAAAAACGAAGCAAGCAGCCAGCCATTAGTGACGCGCAAGCCTCTATAATAATAAAGTATATAATTTTGTCTCGTGGTTGCCAAAAAAAATAAACCGTTTTACAGAAGGACGTACAGCGTACGTACCTCCCCTTTAAGAATCAACCTCAACCGCCCCCGTCGCGACGCGACTAACATTTGCTGTTTTTGTTTGTGCTGTTGCGCGCTGGCTGATCCAGGAAATTTGTTGTGGTTGTGTGTGTGCGAATTACAAAATTAATTAATTTAAGAACAGCCAAATATACAAACAGACATGAATTTCTGAGTTTTGAAATCACACATTATGAAAAACAAAAATCACATGTGCGCGTAAATTATGTAGCCTTGTGATGCATGCATATGTAAATGTGTATGTGTGTGGGTGTTGTTATCCAGCGCAAATTCCCTTTGTGTGTGCCTGGGAGTCTTGAGCTGTTACTGTAAATAACTACGTTTTAGTTTACTTAATAGGGAGGCGCGTTTCAGTATGTGTAATTTTCTTTCTGTCATATTTCTTGCGGTTTTTTGTTATGTTTTGCTTTCTTTTTATTTTTGCAATTTTGTTAGCCTTTTGGTTAAGGGTTCTTGCGAAAAGAGAAACGTGCACTAGTGTCATGCCACTTGTCCGACCGTTTGCGTTATTTGCGCTGCTTAGTCATATATATGTGTATAAGTATGTTAATTTGTATTTAATTACTTTGTAAGAATTAGAACAATTTAGAGTACAAGAATGACAACGCCACACACTCAATTACACATATATGTATATACACACACACAACAAGACTATGTACGCATAAAAATACACATATAATATATGTATATACATGGATATGTACATATGTATGTATGTATATTCTGCGACGCAATTGAAAAGACATCGAAGGCCAAACAACTTTGCCGTTTTTGTTTTCGTCTTCTTCGTTTTACGCTTTTCTGTTAGTTGTTTTTGTTTTTGTTATTATCACAACTTCACTCGCAATTCTCACACTATTTGTTGATTTCCAACGCTAGCGCTCGTTCTCTCTTTCTTTCAAACGCTGCCGGTGTCGAGGCAAATGCCAAAACGCCAACATACACAGCAAGACGCTGAACTACTGCCAAAGCTGAGCTCGAAACGAGCTTAAAATGAACTCAACGATGTAAAAGGATTTATAAGAAAGTCGCAATAGCCACACACGCACACATACACAATTGCATATGCATAGGCTGTAAGCAGCAACGCAGTTTTACTTTCTTTGTTCTATTTGCTAACCTGTTTCCAAAAAGAACAAGTGTGTATTGGTTTTGTGTAATGATGAAGCAAAAGACCTGACAAAAGTGTGAAATGAGCTTAAAATTACTTTTTTTTGTGATATACTCGAAAGTTCAAGAGAAAAGTAAAATTAAAACACAGAGTATTGTGTAGTCGATAAACGAGAACTAATGCGATTCTTTCCATGGTTGCGGCGTTGGCGAGCGTAATGACCATCTGCCAATGGCCTATATTATAAACATCGTTCTTTTTGTCGGAATGTACAATTATAATAATAATAATAATAATAAAAAAAATAAATCTGTTCGTTGTGCCAAAGTACTGAAATACTCTTGACAAAAATTAAGCAAAATATGCTCTGAATTCCGTGACAGATTTATAAGACGCTCTGAAAGGGTATAATAATAATAATAATAATAATAATACGAACAAGATTGTTTTTCGTTTTTGGACTTTTCGTTTGCATTTATTTTTGGTAAAATGCCATATTTTTGTTTTCATGCAGCAATATTTCATTTCTACGCAGCAGCATCGGCGGCAGCAGCACCAGCAGAAGCAGCAGCAGCAATAGCATCAACAGCGGAGGCCGGAAAAGCAAGTTGGCTCAGTGCCCCGTTGCGAATTGACATATTGTGGTTGCGCATTCAGTGGTAAAGTGCAGATGCGCAGTTTGTAACGGCGCCCATGCGCGCACAGCTGATCGATTAGGAATCGATTGAAACTAACCTAACCTAACGGCAATACAGCATCAAATTACAAGCAAACAAAAACAGTGTCATTATCAGCTGCATAATAAAAAAAAACTAAAAAAAAGAAATAAAACTTAAAAACGATATAAAAAACAAAAACGTATCAACAAATATGTTTCAAATTCCACGACCATCGCGGGCAACGCTGCTTGGCGCTGCCATCGCGCTTGGCATGGTGATGTTAATGTCCTGGTAAGTACAGTGAATACACGCTATATATATATGTATATATATTGAATGAATGATGTGAAGATTATAAGTTTGGCCAGCAGTTAGCATAGATCGAGAAAATCAAGTTTTATTCATTTGGCTCAGTTATTTTCTGCGATAAAATGATTAATTAAGTCGGTAGTTCAGCTGCGAGTTATTACTGATTTACATATGCATTTATGTATGCACATTCGATGATCCCGGGTATTGACTGTAAACACCTGCTAGCGTGTTCGTAAATAAAACAAGCTATCGCACGCATTCAGTTAATAATTTAAACTTTTAAGTGCAGTCACGCCTCTCAATTTAGGTCAGAAACCAAATGCATTTTCATTTGCATTTACATTCGCATGTCTCGCGCGTTCCCATTCTCGTTCCCTTTTTAAATCCCAATCCGAAGTAAGCAAAATAAAAATAAATGACGACGACGCCGCATTTTAAAGCGAAAGCTTGACAGGAAGAGCGATGTAAAAAGAGCGAAATGAAAGACTAGAGAGAAAAGAGAGCGCAAGAGCACAAGGAAGGTGAGAGCGGCATAACGGCCGATTGAACGTCGCGTGGCCAGCGCTTATACCCTTACCGAAGATATTTGAATTGTGTCAACAAATTTATAGTTAGAGATGAGTAAACGAACTACTTAATTTGCACGATAATTTTACTATTCATATATACATACCTATATCGATATATATATTGAGATATTTCACTTAACATTTATTATATTTTCTTTGCTAAAAATGAATTGTTACCCAAAAAAGTATACAACACTTGAACAAAAATAAATTCCTTTGTGAAATTCCCATTATTATCTTAATAACATATATGTACAATCTTATATGATCTATACTATATGATTTATATTATTTATATTATATGTATGAAAGAGCATTTAAATGTCGGCTTCGCGCCAACAACTTCCTTATAGTTAAAAGTTGCAATATTTTATTTTGGGCATAGTCTATACATGCATGTACATGTGTCAGTGTATACGCGCTTGCATATGTATTAATATATACGTGCTTACACCTTCATTTTGGCTATCTGTTGGCCCGACAAGCCCCCACTCCCTACCGTTTACCGTGCTTTACTGTATCATGGCGCGTGCATGCGGGGACATTAGTACATACATATATACATACACATATCCACATGTGTATATGTGTGTGTATATAAGAATTCGGTTAGCGGTCAAATGCGTTGTTTTTGTGCTGGCTTTTTTTATGTACTCACGTACATGTGTATATATAGACATGTATATGTATCTGCATACATGTATATACTCACCTATGCTTATGTCTGTGTGCGCAATTAACCAAAGAGAAATGCAGCGCAAATGATTCACACGCAGCCTCAGGCACAGCTTGCCAGATAATACACACACATTTGCGGATATGTGTGTATGTGAATAGAGATATGCACATGTATGTATGTATGTAAATGCACTCTATATGAGTGTAACACTCGTATGTGTGTGTGCTTGCATGAAATTCTGTTTAAAGAGCAGAGCGAATTGGACTTGTCATTTGTTGTATTACTTTGTTTATCAATCGACTATAAGTGCAAAAAAGTAAAAATCCCGCTAAATAGCAACAACAATTGCAATTGAATTTGTTATGCAGCTAGACGTTGTTGGTCATCGAACAGACGCCAGCAAATGCAAATAACAATAACAACAAAGTCGAAAACAACTATTGGTACCTGGCAAAGGCATCAACGCAATCTCGATAGCTTTTTGCATCCAATAAATATTCCCAATGAGTTTTTTTGTTTGCTCGTTCACAAATCTAAAAGGAGTATATACATGCATATGTAGCTCTAGAGCAACCAAATTGTTAAAAAAAAAAAGTTATCTGTGCTTTTGCCAACTGCGAATTGAAAATTTTCGGATTATTCAGTAAACCCAAATACTAACTAAATTATCTTAATGGAATCCTAATGCAACAGGTGCACTTACATTATTCATAACCCGATTCAATTTGTTGCTTTCGACTGCCAACTTGTTTGTTCGCTGGCAACAAGCTTTGGTATTTGCTTTAACAATTTGTAAGCAACAGCAATCCGAAAGTTAAGCAAAAAATAAGCGCTATGAGAGACAAACAGTGCGATAATACGATAATGATAGATAGTTCTAAATGCAAAACAAAAAAATAAGTAAAATACATATAAAAAACAAATACAAATAAAAAACAAAAAATAAGCAATTGCTACGCCATGCCAAAGATTAAACACACCTGCGATCACATGTCTAAAAAGGTTTTCTATATTTCGACTTCAATTCGAAACGATCTTTCAGTTCCGAATATGTCAGAATGTTGTCTTGTGGAAAATATTGCCATAGTGATCAGGTTTTACTCGTTCGATTCTTTTTATAGAGTTATTTGAGATATATCGCAGTTAGATACGGCCTTGTTCACAAAAATAGTAGTGCGACTGAGCACTACTATTTCTATGAACAACCGATTTGTACTGCATTTTTTTATATACTCTGATTGACCTATTTACTAAAAAATAATAAAAATTCCCTATAAAATATGGATTTTGCGATGTATATCGCTTTGTTATTTCCCCCAGATAGAACGCGCATTAGAGCAAAATGATAACGCCCGCCATTTGCCCCACATAAAGCTATCTAATCGCGTCTAATCTATATGTGATGTCAGCACATTCATATCAATATAAACATGAGGATAAGCTGTCCAGATGAGTGAGTGGCTTATTTATTTGTTTCCTTAGCCAGTCAGCAATTAATAATGCTCGAATTGATAAGGACTAATCGATATGCTCATCATATTGCATATGTTAAATCTTCGTTTTATTTTTGCCAATCAAAATAGAAGCAAGAAATATATGAATATACATATATATAGAAAATAAAATAAAATTATAATGAATATAAAGCTTTGTTCATAAAAATAGTAGTGTGATTGAGAACTACTATTTCTGTGAGCTGTCGAGTTTCAAGGCATTTCTTCAAAATCGTCAAAAACAAATGAATTCAGAACGAAAGTAACGGAATTTTTAGCTATCGATAATTAAGTATAGAGGTAATATCCCTAATTTCCAAGTCTACTCGACAGTTATTGAACTATTTCTGTAAGTAACACTCTGACAGCTTAAGAAAATGAAAGCCAAAAAACAATAATTGATAAAAGTTTCAGATTTAGACGTGAATGAATATGGATTAGAATGGATAACAGATTCACAGTCTTCTTTGTTTTCTGTGTATGTTTCCTGGTCGCAGGGTATGAAATAAAATAACCATTAAGAAGTTTGCCAAAAATGCCTAAAACGTTAAAGTTAATCATTAATTAAGCGAAAGACAGCGAGAATTTATAATATCTTATAATAATTTAAGCCCGTTTTTGGCTCACTCTTGCTATTGAGCGAGAGCGAGAGCGAGAGAGTGAGTCAGGCAGAGGGAGAGAGAGAGAGAAAGAGCGAGAGCGAGAGTAAACTTTTGCATAACCTGTAAATCAGTCAGCGTCAAATTCGTAGCTAAAGTCACAAACTAAATTTAGAAGAAGAAGAGCAAGAACAAGAGGAAGAGGAAGGGAGCGAGAACAAACAAAACATAGATCAGCTGAGAGGAATCTGTAGCGAAAACCAGGTTTGAGTTGCTGCTTCCTGCTAGAACATGTTTTCGCACAGCTAACACTAGAGCCATCGCATAGACTTTGGCTTTGCTATTATTATTTTTTTTTTTTTAAATAAATTTGTGTTTTGTTTTTTTTTTACTGCTGCTGCTGGTAAGTGAGTGGTCAGCACGTTAGCAAGTCACATTAAGGCTAGACCCGTCGCCAGCTGCGGTTGACTTTGAAATTGTGTTTGAGTTGATTGCCCTGTGCTCGGATCGCTTCCTGACTTATTGCTCCAACTTCATCTCCATATTCATCTGCGTCTGTTTTGCAGCGTACGTCCTTTGGGTGTCCTGTTCCTGGGCCTGTTCAGCTATTGGCTATATTGGACACGGTGCAGCTATCGAGTTGTGCTCACGCCGGAGCTGCGCGAAAAATTCGAGTCCTGGTTGCGTCGCGCCGACAATTGGCGTCACAATTCACCCAGCATGTTCTGCTTGGTTAGCACCGGCTGCCTGGCCACATTTGCCGTTTTGGGCCACCTGCTATCGGGTTCCGTGCTGGTGATGACCCTGCTGGTCGTCTCCGCTGTCGTCTCCACCAAATACAATTTTAAGCTGGTACATATCGAACGCAGAGGTAAGTTCAGTCTACAGTTTGGCCCGCTTTTGCCCATTTTAATCAATTCCATTTGCAGATTTCCAATGGTCGGAGCGGATCAACTACTATAATGCCGATGCCGAGCTAGACGATGAGTTCATGCCGGACGTAAACGAATCGAATCTGTTTGTGCTGGAACGTGCCAGCGATGTGGCCACCATCAGCTCGCCCACCGATGCGGATGGGGTTGGCGATGCTGACGACGATGACCGCAGCGATGATGTGCCCTCCGAGCTGCTCATACCCGATTGCATACCTGAAATCGATGAGCACTCAACCGACGAGGATGACGAACTGGTGCCGCTATCACAGTCCAAGCACAGGGCGGAAGCAACAGCTGCCCGACCACAACCACAGCAACAACAATACGAGCAGAGCAGTCAGGCAAAGGACAATGCGTCAACAGAGGACAAGACAATGGACTTTCGTAGGGGGCACTTCAAGCGCGACTCTTCGCTATCCACCACCTCATCATCGTCAGAGGAGAGCCTATCCAAGGGCCTGCAATTTCCCGATCACACCAGCGTCGATGCTGGCGGCCCCTCACTGCGTCAGTTAACTGCTCCACCCACTGATGATACTGCCAGCAGTAGCTCTCTATTAGCATTGGCTGTCAAAACGCAAGCGCAGGCGCTGCTGCCCAGCCTCGTCTCCAACTTGGTCCAATGGGGTGCCACTGAGGTGGATAGCACCGCCAAGCGACGCCAAGTGACAGCGCTAGACTCATCCGATGAGAGCGACTTCGAGATACTCGAAACGGATGATTTTAAGTAAACCAACTAATATCTATCTATCTATATATGTATATATCTATATATATATATATATATATATATATATATATATATATATATATATAAGCATATATATTGAAAGATATATATTTATACATATATTGCATACGCGTGTAGAAATCACAGATGCACACACACACACGTATACACAGACACACATACACACGCACACACACACACGCACACGCACACACTTTCACAGACAGACAGCGAGAGAGAGAGAACTCAGATTTGGTCATGCCATAAGAGTAAAAAACAAATGCAAGGCAGACAGTTTTTAATTTAATCTATGTATATCATATATGTTGTATATTATAGCTCCATTATATGATGAATTGCATATATATAGAATCTATATAGGTTTGTTGCGTCCCTATTTGGGTTCTCTTTCGTTCTCCGTGCTTGTGCTCTGTATATTATTAATATAAATTTTATTATAATTTTTTTTTTTATATTTAATTATAATTGGATGTTTGTTTTATTGTCATTGTGCTTTGGAGCAGCGGTTAAGTTACTAAAGACGCAAATTGAAATTTTGAGTTGAGTTTCGTTTACGATTTCTATTAGCTGTATGCAAAAATGTAAATATATTAATATTCATACGTATATACATTTATTCGGATACTCATGCAAATGTTGAGCTACTTAATCTGTACCCACAAAACACAAAAAAAAAAAATGAAAAATTGGGCAAACACATATTTACTCCCTATAAACCTGATGCGGTGCTATAAACCATATTTAACAAGAAAAAAAACCAAATCGCTTGAAAACAATTCGATAAAACTGTGTATAAATAAATTGGGCTTAAGCGATCGATGCTACTTACTGATAAAACGAAATAAAAAAATCAATTTTTTTCAATAGTCGATGCTTTTTGATGTTTATCAAATATATTGTGACCATTAGAAGTCTGTCTTCATTGTAACAAAGAAAATTCATTAGTTTCTAAATAAAATACATTTCAACGTAAAATATATTAACCAAATTAGTTTCATATTTGACTTTCGAAATCGGAACATCAATGCTCGAGTTAAGTTATCGAATAACACTGTAAAAAAATACTGGGCTGTTAATTGTTAAAATAACGGGGTTTCAAAGAATTGTAGTTCTGGTGTTTGCTTGGTCTTATGAATAAATGCGCGCCAAACTTTGAGTTGATTAACAGACACCACTAAAAGAACTGTTAATTAACATTAGAATCATGTTTTAGCGTAACCTAATGAGTTTTTAACAGTGGTGCACAGCTGTTAATTTCGTATCTTGGAAAGTGGACACTACTCCACATCGATAAGAAATTCATCGAGAGGTGGCATCAATGTTATCCGAATTTTCTTAATTGTACCGTGTGTGTTTCAATGGAAAATTCTACAGAATAATATAAATCTTAGATAAAGCGGAGTTAAAAACTGTTGGCTGTTTTATTTTTCGATTTATTTTCGACCAACGATTCATCGAGCAATCCAATATCTTATAAATGCAAATTTATCGATAATAACTATGCCAAGCCTGAGTTGAATTCAAAAGTGACGCTAAGATCAACAAAACATTTGGATCGATGGATTCAGCTAAAAGCAATTCCGTGCTTATTGCGGTGCGGGAGGCGCCGTTTCGAAAGACAATCAGTGACGGCATTAAACGCAATGAAAAAAGCATAATTCAGTTTTCGGAGGAATGCTCAAAGGTAAACATGACCTCAAAACCTAACTGCACCAGCCACCCATATTCAATTTAAATTTAATATAACTCTCTTAGGCATTGATTGTCGATGGCAACGTATTCAGTTTTGATCACAGCTTCGATTCGACAGTCACACAGTCGAAGCTCTATGATACGCTTATTCATCCGCTGGTCTTGAAGGTATTGGCCGGCTATGATTGCACAGCATTGGCCTACGGCCAGACAGGAACTGGCAAAAGCTATTCCATGGGCATGAGTGCCGAGGTGAGTGCGCCATATCTAGATGCACTTAGCAATTCGAACTGATTGAGCCCCTGTTTACCAACGCAGCAATTGCCCGAGGAGCATATCGGTATTGTGCCACGATGCTTGGAGGAGATATTGAAGCGTATCTCTATTGATGAGCAAAAGGAGAACAATGGCATTCCGAAGCTTGTTTTTGCCTCCTATATAGAAATATACAATGAAAAAGCCTACGATCTGCTTGCGCTGGACACCGAGAAGCCAGTGGCATCGCGTGGACAGCGACGCTTCACGGGCGGCACCTGTCTGCCTCTGAGGAATCAGCAAGATCTGAAGCAGATACTCCTACTAGGTACAAAGAATCGCCATGTGCGTTCCACCAACATGAACAAGAGCAGCTCCCGCTCCCATGCCATCATCACCATTCACGTTGAGCTGGGCTGCCGCCATTCGCGACTCAACATCATTGACTTGGCTGGCTCCGAGGGTGTGCGCCGCACTGGCAACGAGGGCATTGCTCGCGCTGAGGGTGTCTACATAAATATGGGACTCTTGAGCATCAATAAGGTGATGCTGTCCATGTCGGCTGGGCACACATTGATACCCTACCGGGATTCCATTCTAACAACTGTGCTGCAAGGTATGCACCTAGGATCTATATAGACTCCAAAGTCTGTGAGTAGCACTTTTTGTTGCTCATGATTTACAGAAGTATTTTTTAATTGGACAACGTCGTTTCTTTTTCAGATTCCTTCAATTCGCGCTCCTATCTAACACTGCTAGCCTGCGTTAGTCCACATGCTTCCGATCTGTCGGAGACCATCTCCACGCTCCGCTTTGCCAAGAGCGCCAAACAGGTGAAGCTGACCCCGCAGGTCTCCCAGCAATTGCAGCAGATCGAGCTGAATTTGGTGAGTAATGCAACAACTATATATAATTATAATCTACACAGTCCAATATGACGCCGCGCATTCGTTGCTTGTAGAGCAGCTCGTTGCCGTCGCCTAAGAATCCAACGTTGCGTAAGTTGGTTGTGGCGCCGCCTTCTACCAATTCGCTTATGGCCTGCAGATCGGGCGCGTCCTCGCTGCGAATGGTCACAATGGGCAACACCATCATGGCCAGCAGCAATCCCACGGCTCCCTTCTCGTGCAGCTGTTGCCTGAACGCAGCCAATGGGAACACGACTTCCGGCAGCTCGCCCAGTCTTTCAAGCCAGAGTCAAGATTGAAGCTAAAGTATAGAACAACTGAAGTTTGAGCAGCTCAGCTTACCTAATTAACTGTTGTCGCAACTCTTCGTAGTACAGCTCGAGCATTGGCTGGAAGTGCTGCCGTCGAAAGGCTCGCGTGGTGCAGCTGAACAGGAAGTAGGCCAAGTCGGTGACGGGGGAGGCATAGCGCATCAGCTGCCAATCAATGAGACGGACCTCTGAGGGCTGCTCGCTGCCCGGCGAGCATCTGTAGAGGAAATTGTTGTTCCAGCTGTCGCCGTGGCAGACCACAGCAAACGGTTCACAGTTCGAAGCGCTGAGCAGCGACGAGAGCAACTCGAAGTAACTGCCCCGCCCAAAATACGCCTGCAGGCGCTGCACGTAGCTGCCATCTGACTGCGGGCACAGGGCGTCCAGTGCGCTGTGCTTCAGCTGCTCAAAGTATGCGGCCAGGCCCAGATCAGAGCGCCGCTGCTCAAATATGTCCAGCATTTGCTGAAACGGCGCAAGCTGCTGCGGCTGTTTCTGCTTCATAGCCAAGGAAACTGCGTGCAGCTTGGCATAGGCGCCCATGACGAGGGCAACGTGAGCCAGCGTCAGGTCTGCGAAGCGATCGTGCATCTGGTAGCCAGTGCGACACAGATCCTCTAGCACAATGCACTCGTTGGGCTCGTCCAGCCGTGTGGCCAAGCAGCGTGCGTAGTGGCGAAACTGATCTGGCTCCGCCAACTTTCGCTCTGCCTGAAAGCTGCTGGCGAGCGGCAAAAACATTTCGTAGGCCAGAGCCTCGCGCTTGAAGCAGGGTCGGGCAAAGAATTGCTTGCGTCGCACGGCATTCTGTGGCGGCAGCTTCAAAACTAGACTGCGCTCCGGTGACACGTGTATGCGCCAGACAATGCCCAGGTAGTTATTGCCCTTGGCGCAGGCCAACTCGAGCGTGTAGTCGCTGCGGCCAAGCACTTTCTGAAGCGTCTGACGCACGCTGGCATTGGGCAGATCCTCCTGTTGCTCCATTGCCCAGCTACTGAGGGCAGCTCGAAGCCATTGATTGCTTTTATAGCCATGCACGCATATATTAACCGCAACCGCAAACGCAAACGTAAACTTGAGCTGCACTCACTTTGCATATCAAATGTCAATTTTATTACTTGCAGCGCTCAACCAAAAAGAGTTCCATCAGTGGCATGCCCCAGTGCCAAGGGCGTTTGCTGCCCAGCTCAATAGTCATCAAACGGCACACGAATACCAACTCCAAAGCAGCCGTCGTAACTAGCTTCTGCACACCCATCAAGAAGACTAAGCCGGCCTTATTCTTGCAGCGTTATCACTCCGACATAGGCTTAACACCCAAGGCCAAGGATCGGTAACGAGAAGCATTTGTTTACTCAAAATAGGAGCTGATTTACTGATATCTCCTCTCTTTGACAGTGCGCGAGCATTGCTGGACCCCAAGCCAATTATCGATCCAGACGAGCGGCCGCAGCGAAATGGATTATTGCCCGCGCTGGGCGAGAGCGACTGCAGTCTGGAGAAAGTGCAGCCGCATCTGGCCGTGCCAACTATTTCGGACTATATGGAGCTTAAGCTGAAGTATGAGGCACTGCAGCGCAATCTAATGGAGCAAGAGGCGCCCGACCAGCCCGACAAACACGATGTAGCCGCTGAGCGGCAACAGTTGTCCCTGCTCAGCTACTGTGAGTTCACGTCCGATCTTACCTCCATAGCCGAGGAGCACGATAAAGTTCCTGCGCCGCGCTGTCAGCTATTTACCAGCAGTCCTGATAGCTGCAGAGGTCCGAATCACAGTTCAATGCATATCCGCAACGTATCTCCAGTGCCAGCCTCAGCCTCTCCGATTGTGGAGACCAATGCAGTTGTACCAACTGTGGCTTGCCGTCGATCGATGCGTTTACTTAGTCGCCAGATGTGCATTGAAGAAATCAAAACGTTTCCGGATCAGAGGAAGCTACGACGCAGCACGCGAATTAGCAATCAGACGCAAGTCAAGTCCATTCTGAAATCCGAATTGACATCCAAAGTTCTTGGCAAGTCTGAGACGGGCGTTGCCCTCGAGCGTTTCTCGGCCAGTTGCAGCAAAGGCAGCCAGGATACACGCCTGCGCAAGCACCGGTCCACGCTATTATCGATGCTGAACAGTGCTACCGTTAAGGACTTGCAGGCATTGCCCCACATCGGACCCAAGACAGCGTTAGCCTTGGTCATGCAACGGTAAAGTATAATAAATACTTTTGTCAATTAAGTCTAAATAGATATATTCTTGAATGTCCTGCAGCTCGGTGCTGGGTCGCTTCAAAAGCTGGAAGCAAGTGCAAAAGCTGCCCATTTGGACTGAGAGCAGTTGGACTCGCTTCGCCAAGGCCGTTTGTATAGAGATTGCCAAATAGCCGAAACTTAAGCTGTGCATAGCGCCTAGAACTGTATTCGCATAATGCATTTTTATTACTTATTTATACATAAGTTCCCCAAGCAATATTAACATAGAATAAGAGTAACGACAATCCACATCTTCAACTCAAAATAGCTCAACTTAAATTGTATTTAGTTAGCAACAAATTGTGCTCAGCTTAACATTTAATGAGAACTTTTTTTTGAAGACTTTTCTTTTCTACGATTTTTTGTGCTGTCATTTTTTATTGATAAACCTAAGAACTGATAAATTGCTAATATAAACGTAGTTTAAGTATTTAAAAATTAAAAAGAAAACATTTGACAGACATGGCAAATTGCAGACATTCTTCCAGTTAATATTTAAGTTGGTCAATGATGACGATTTTATGGAATTTATTTTACTAGTTTAGCAAATGCTGAGTTAACTCAGCGTGGGAAGGTCGACTGAAGGTCTGACGGGCTCTAGCTTGGCATGATTAGAGAATTCTATAACTGAGTGCAAATATATGCAAAGAGCCGTTATATTTCTGTTCGCTTTATGTTTCATATTCGTGCGCAATTTGGATCCACTTGAACCATGCCTGTGTTCGTGTTTGCCTGCCTGCATTAGTGTTGCCTCTTGTCCGTTATCAGCTGAAGAAACTTCAGCTTACCTGTATTGTCTTGTTTAATTTGTGTTTGGTTATTGGTAAACAAGATAACGAGCCGCGCAGCAATACACAAACGTTTTAAAATAATAACAAATATTACTTATGTACGCACATACATACACGCATAGGTATGTATGCATACATTGAGGCATTTGCGATTGCAAATCGCTTAAAAAATGATAACGCATAAATTTAAGAACTGGGTAAAGCAGACGAAATAGCATTGCCAACGGCTGTTTGCCTTAAGTGCAAAGTCTTATCGTAGATAGTTAAGGATCGTGCACAAAGGCAAAGAAGCAGTTCACGCTGGCCAAGCGAGCTCGACTAGAAGATACCCTACAGTTGCTCTTATTTGATAATGGCTTATGAAGTAAACCTCAGCTGAGTTGTTAACTATATTCAACACTTTTCCAAATATATATCAAATTAGATCTTGGACAGAATAAATTTAAACAGATTTAGAGCAACGGAAAGGCTAAGCAATAGCTTTTATCTAGTTCTCTAAAATATTTCATATTTTATGTACAGTTGTGTTCATAAAAATAGTAGTGCGACACAGTTTTTTGAAAGCAATTTGAAACGAATGTTAATTTTAAACATATTTTTTTTAAAATAATTTAGATGCTTTTTTTTGTGACAAGCTTCAGGGTTTAAAAATAAAGTAAACTAAATGAAATGGCTCATAAAAATAGTGATTTAAAAAAAAACTATTCTACATTTGTCTAAAAGTCTAACACTTTATTATTTTTTTTTTTATAAATTTTAATTAAAAATTTATTATTTGTTTATGACGGCTTGGCACTCGATGACGCACCGATCGAGTACCACAGCTGTCTTATGTGAGCAAGCAATGGCTTGTCATTCTGCTGAGACGCACGGAATTTCCCAACTGGCAACAAGCGATTTCAGTGCAGACATGAGAAACTAATACACATTATAGGGTATAAGTACTATCAACCTTGTTGACACATTTTACTCACTCCAGAGTACATACACGCACATATACATACATGTACATACTTAATTAAGCTGTTCGATTTAGTTAGTCAAAAATATGTTAGAATGACTTTCAGATTTTGACCTTTGCTTAGGTTTGTATAGCTGGAGGGCTGGGAACACTTATGGCTTGATCTGTAGAGCAGCTCATCAGGCGACTGAGCCTCAGATATATACATATATGTAGCGGATATGTGAGATTGGATTTTCTAGTATTCAGATTCAAGAGTGAGGAATTAGAAATCAAATCACGCTACAAAACGCTGCCCAGCGCTGTGAAATTTAAGTGCGCTATCTGATAATGGAACAATAAAAATATATAATAATTAGTTGTGATGTCACCAAGTCTAATCAACATACGATCGTGGCTTTTGTTTATGAACAAATATAATTGGGAATTATTTAAATTTAACTAATGTTGAAGTCGACAAATAAAGGTAAATATGGTAACAAAAACAAGATATTCAAAAAATTATACTAAAATTTAATTGAAATCTTTATTTTTTATAATATTTATTATTAATATAGTAGTAATTATATTTGCAATCAGTTTTCTTAAACAACAAAACTTTACTGTTCAGCTCAAATATTATGGAATTTATTTCATTATGCTTACATACATACAGATGTACATGTATGTGCATATGACGACATTTCTATGGGCCACACCTTTTTCTGCAGTCTATGAATGACTGTCAATCATGCTGGCCATCAATCGGCGTAGGGTGCACACCACTGTATATTAACTGCGCCGCAAAATCAAACCAAGTAAATGAAAAAAAAAGCTTCAACAGCGGCAACCGCTACACCAACAACAAAATGAATACAAGACTATAACAGCAACAACAATTATTAAAACAGAAACAGCGACAACAGCAGCGAACACAACAAAATGCCAAACGAAAACAAACAAGTAAAAGTGGTGTAGGTTATAATATATGACTAGCAAAGATACCCTGCAAACACACTGAAGCTGGGTAGACGGGCTGATAAAATAAATAAGAGGGTTATCTTTTTCTATATATTATATGCCATGTAATTATATATAAATAGTGTAAGCACCAATATTTTTTGTTTTAGACAATTTACGTATTATTATAGTTATATATACCCGCTTTACGCCGCTATAGTACACAGGGCATAGAAAGCAGGCAAAGTAAGCAACAACGACCGGCTTCTCTTCTTTTTCATGCTTTACAGCTACACACACACACGCATGCCCGACTGCGCCACGCATGTGTTCGTTCATTCAATAGCTCCACTGCTGCCTCTCTCAATACATGCACAACCACGCACACATAGGAATAGTTCGAATGCGGCCGATGGCAGCGCAGGCGCAGCCCGCAAACGGACAGCGGCTTCGTGAATGCAGCGACGTTGGCGTTGGCGCTGACTTCTTTACTACTGCCAATGCGCTGCGACGCGTTTAAAATGTCGCATTCGCCGACGCTTTGAGCTCAGTCTAAAAACAGCAGTTAGAGCGATTGACCAGTCAGCTGCTGGCCCTGCTGCGCACACACTAGTCAGTCAGTCGTCGTTGTTCTTGTGCCTCGATCCGGATTAAGTTGTTTTGATTATTCGTATTTGAAATTGAAATTGAAATTGAAATTGAAATTGTTATCGACCTTCTTCGCGTTTTCGTGTTCCGCTAGCAGAAAAACAATTAAAGCAAAAATCAAATTATAGAATCATAGAGCGAACAGCAACAAGCACACCATGACGCCGGTAAAGTTTTATTTCGATTTTCTTAATCAGGCCAGCCGATCGCTTTACATATTATTGGAGGCATCCAAGATTCCATTCGAGGCGATACCCATATCAATGGTCAAAGGTAAGTTGAGTACGTGCCCAAAAGCTCGTGCAGTGGCCCAAAGGTTGTTTCCACACACACACACACCCGTGCAGTTAAATAGCTACATATATATGTATGCATCTGCATATGTATATATATATGTATATGTATGTGCACTTAAGTCTATTTCTATCTCTTTTTTTGAGTGTTTCCAAAATTTTCCACTTGCTTAAAATTCAGCTAATCAAGTTATCGAAGGGGAAAGTGCAATACGTGTAGAAATAAATATGCATGTTAATGCATAACTGATAGATAGGCCTCTAAAATTTATTAACAGCAGAAGACATTTATATAAATATATATTTTTTCAGATGTTATTAGAAATATAATTGGAAATGAGCTTTGCAATACTCGAAAATATTTCATATAAATTGTGTTTTTCTTAAACGTTTGAACGTGACATTTCAACGATTTATTTATATTTTTATACCCATCAAAGTACAGTTACGGCAAACAATTAGATTTGCCTTTAAATGTTAGACATTCCCTTGGTCATCTATACAATTTGGTAAACATGATATATTGAAGAGATTTTCATTTCGATTAGTCGAAAGAAAAACAAATGAATTTCTTACGATATTCCAGTCTCTATAGATTGTTCCTGATGACATAGTTATCCGATGTTGATAAGCGGTTCAACACAGAATGACAAGTCTATAATATACCTGATATCGATAAAGTATATAGTGCCGACTAACATTTGTATACAGATATGGCCCTAATGAGGTCGAAGATGTCTTAGACGCCGTATCACTATATGCCATGTTTCGTATCTATATGGTCTAATCGCAATTGCAATTAAACAAAAAAATAATAATAATAATAAAAAAGAAGATATTAGTTCAAATACATTCGTGGCTCGTATAAAGCTTATATAAATAGATATGCATCAATTATTAGACTTTAATTTGAAACTAATTAACTTTTTGCGCAGTCCACACACACACACACACATATATATATATATATATCTAATATCTGTGTGAGCATTGTCGATCCATGGATCTAAAACACACTTTTCACACGCAGCTGCAAGGTTTGCTTTTGTGGTTGCTGTATGAAAATAGAATCAGCAATATTAAAAAAAAATATTTAAATAAACAACAAAAAACAAGTTTGAGCCGCGCAAAGCGAAGCTGCCACCGGCCAGGCGATACCCTGTAATTGTAATACCCAGTGCCAATTGGACAGAAACTTCTTGCTGCGGCGCCTGCTGCCTTCGCTCCGCCTGCTCTTCCTGCCCATGACGTGCAAAGCCCCCTCGGCCCAGCACGTACAGGGTATGCAGGGCAAAGAGCGAAGAAAATTAAATGTATTTGTTTATTAGCGGGCGCGTGCGTCGGTGTTGTTAACACTATTTAACAAAATTGCTTGATGAACACGCGCTAAATAGCTGCCAAGAGCTTTGACTGAGTTTAGATTTGATGCGGGGTAATCTCTATTGACCGTGGCACTTTCTCGTACAGCTGCTCCAGAATGACTGAGTGTTAAAGCTTATCGGTCAGACTTGCAACTAAATTCTTTACTAACGACAGGCCACGCCCACTATTGCCGCTATAAATAGTAATAAAAACAGATAGAGTTTAAATTTTGATTAGAGAACTGATTTCGATTCGGTTACTGTTGTGTTTACACTGAAAGAAAAAACTACTTGATTCCTTGTCTGAAGAGAAATTGTTGAGCAATTATGTTGCGCAGTGTTTGCTGTTTGCGTCTTGCCAAAAGACAAGCCAAACATAGCAGAAGCAGCAGCTAAAGCTTTTGACTTGGTCAAGGTTGAACGCTGTTAACTTGTTAAGCAAAATATTAGACATATATATGTATATATATGCCTATATAAGCTATCTCAGATTTCCCGATCTGTAGATACGCATCCGCATCTATTGAATGCAAATTGTGGATTAGCTCATTGGCTTCCGCAGCTGCCGCTGCGCTGAGCAAGTGCAGCAAAACTTGAACCCGGCTGGACTTTGGACGCGACGACTTTTTGCTCAATAGTGTAGCAGTGCGAGCGATATCTAGTATTTGGCCACTGGCCCCTGGCCACTGGCCCCGAGCCAGTGCATTGAGCCCAGCCGAGCTGCAGTCGTCGTCTACAGAGAAGACTGCCTTGAACAGATTAATGCTTTGTTAGCGTGCACAAGACACAGGTCGACGCATTCTCGTCCAGTTTGACTGACTGTTCAAGCCGAGCTGAAAACATGAAACTTGCGAACGCCTCTCAAGCTGAAACGTTCTCTCTGCCAGTGCAGCTTTAACTAACTTGCGACTTAGTATCCAGACCTAGACATACATCCATAGAATACACTTAAGCATACGACTGTACTTGCGATGATACTCCGAGCAGCTGCCTCTGCCACCAAACAGCACTGCTGTGCCCTCATCCGTCCTATGGGCAGTACCTTTGCCTCTACCTGGCAAATAAATTATGTCGGCGCTGAGCTAAAATTAAGCAAAATCAACTACGCTTACTGTTAGAACATATTTCTTATATCCTGAACTGAAGTTGGGAGTTCAGTGTATAAAGTAGGCGTGTAGACCCTAGCTAGGCAGCTGAGTTAATCTAGTCCGTCCGTCCGTCGGTAACTCGTAAGCCACAAAAGCTAAAGCTCTGAAATTTGAAATCGATAGCTCAGCAGATGTCTTAATCGATAAGTATCGATAATATGGAAAATGTATTTAAAGCGTACATTGTTAATTGATTTGATTGATAAAAGTAGCATTTAATGATTGAAAGCGCAGGGTATTTGCTAGTCGAGCAGTCGTTTGCTTTTATTTATTACAAATTTTTGTCGATATTCAGTGCAGTTCTCTAAAATAGTCGAAATCAAATTAACTCGGTTTTTTTGTAATTCTCTTCTTCGCACTCCACTCTAAGCTAAAAGTGTACATTTTTTTAATTTTCAGCGGAAAAAGTTGAGTTTCGTTTGGCTTAAGTTTTGTTTCGCGCTGCACTACTATTTTTATGAACACAAGCCTTTTGAGTTCCTATAATCACGCCTCTTCCCTTCCCTTCCCTTACAAGGTGAGCACTTGACGGGCGAGTTTCGGGACAAAGTCAATCGGTTCCGCAAGCTGCCCGCGATCACCGATCACGGCTATCAGCTGTCCGAGAGCGTGGCCATCTTCCGTCATCTGGCGCGCGAGAAGCTCGTGCCGGAGCACTGGTATCCGCATCGTCAGCTGGGCCGCAGTCGCGTCGACGAGTATCTCGCCTGGCAGCAGTCGAACATGGATGTGGCATGCACCGATTACTTCCAGCAGAAATGGCTGGTGCCCTACCTGCAGAAGACCCGACCCTCCGACCATGCGGTAAGCCTTGCAACTTTTCAGCATAGACTATAGATATGTAGCATATATATGTAGGATATCTGATGCTAATTAGCAGCAGATTTATTTAGTTTATTTAAATATACTCGATAAGTCCACAAATCGATTATTATCGATCAGTATATACTGAAAGTCAAGTCGGGAGTGCCTGACTAGAAAATACCCTGAGTGCGACTACAAGGCGAGGTATTAAAAATTCGATAAAGACAAAATTTCAGACTCAAATCCATATGGGATATGCCCTGCCTACTTATGCCCTTTTAGATTCAGTTTCGCAAAAACAGCACGTCGGGAGTGCCTGACTAGAAAATACCCTGAGTGCGACTACAAGGCGAGGTATAAAAAATTCGATAAAGACAAAATTTGTATATTCAGAAGAGATAAAGTCTTTTAGTCTCTAATATATTTTTTAAATTTTTATTGATAGTAAGAAAGTAAATAGAGTCATTGAATAAGCTTGATAATTTACGATAAACTCAGAGCCATATGGGGTATGCCCTGCCTACTTATGCCCTTTAGATACACTCTCGCAATTTATGCCCCAATTTGCCAATTCCAATGGGTACAAAGAATCTTCGCTTAAAATACTTTGACTCTTTAAGATTTAAGATCCCATATACTATATACTCATATGCGTGTTTACTTACCACACCGAAATTGTAGTTTCTGAAGGCAGGGGAAAAGCACGAATCAATATGGAAATATTTATTATATTATAAACATTTAATTGACACAGGTGAATTCAGCCAGCAAGAAGCTGGAGCACACGCTGAATGACTTCGAGGAGCTGTTCCTCAACTCACGCAAATTCATGCTTGGCGACAACATTTCGTACGCGGACTTGAGTGCCATCTGTGAAATAGATCAGCCGAGTAAGCAAATATTTGGACAAGTTTCGACTAGCCAAAGCAGCCAGAGATAATAATAATGGTTATGTTCGCAGAGTGCATTGGCTACAACACCTTCAAGAATCGCACCAAGCTGGCCCGCTGGTACGAGGCAGTGCGCGAGGAGCTGGGCCCCTACTACAGTGACGTCCACAAGGAGTTCGAGGCCAAGTTGAAGCTGACCAAGGCGCAGCAGCAGCAGGGCGAGAAGCAGGCGCGGGCCGTCGAGCAATGATCGGTCCGGATCAGATCAGCTTTTGTTTATATATTTCTCTATATACGTGTATATATACCCTGTACACAATCGAACAAAGGTATACGCCTTTGCGTCTGTCTGTCTGTATGCGTGTCTGCTTATTGAACTTTTTTAAATGTCAAATATCTGAGATCAATTTTAGAAAAACCCTTTTCAAATCGAAAAGTGCATTAACTATTCCATAAATTTGAATGGAATCTACCTAATGTGTACAGGGGCTAAAAAACAAATATATTCGGTCTCCGAAGGTAACTGTTTATTTTTTTGTTTTTTTTTTAATCGTTTATAGCTGTTACTTATTAAACTATGTGTATATATTTAGAAAACTATGTTAAAATATTATATCGAAAGAAAAAAAAACTGAGTTTTAAGTTAATTTGATCTGCGTTATAGAAGCACTCTGAAATATTGTTAAAAATCGATGTATTCTACCGTTCTCTATGTGCATATATAAAAACTTTGACCTCACAGGTGGTTCCACACCTGTTTCCGCATCTATTCCACTGTGATGAGGGTATTCGGCAGTCGATCAGATCCGACTGTAAAGTTCTCACTTGTTGAAATTTACGACATTAATAAATTGGTTTTGTTTTTATTTTTGTTTCTTTGTTTGTTTTATGTTTATACTAAAATACCTTGAAAGTTATTGTATTTAATGATCTGCATCTAAAAATAATATATTTACTAAAATTGAAGTTTAAAGAAAATTTGCATTTAAGCCTGGTTGATTTTTGTTCTTTCTTAAGTATAGATCTATGCAAACATACTGTTTTTACTCTGTGAAAGCGAGTATATTGGTTTGTTATTGTTATTGTTTTTTGTTTTCTTTTTGTTGTGTTTATTTTGTGCAAGGCTCTTTCGTATGGCCGACTGTCCGTATTAGCGCTACATAGTATATGCTTCCAACTTTTACTTATATGTACATCTGCTCTTGTCAGAGAAAGCGTTAACAATTCGTTTGTATTTTTTCCTTTTTAAATAATAAATATATATGTATATGTATGTGTGTATGGTAAGCTAGAGTTGGCAATTACATCTAAACTGAACGCACGCATACATAAATACATATGTTCCACAGTTTTGGAGCTGCACATGCTTGTGCTTGTGCTATCTCGTTCTCTCTGCATCTGTATTTATGCATATGTTCCACAGTTTTGTAACTGCACACAAAGTGTATGAGTATGACCTGTGCTATCTCCCTCTCACTGCATATGTATTTGTGCATATAAGCTTCACAGTAGTGTAGCTGCACACAAAGCGTTGTGCTATCTCGCTCTCACTGCATATGTAGTTGTGCACATATGTTCCACAGTTTTATAAGAACACACGAAAAGTGTTCAATGCAAGTTGCCAGAGCAGATCTTAGGCTCTCCCGTTCTCATTGCATACAGATAGCTTTCAATTCTAATGGAAGATAAGTGTGTGTGTGTGTGTGTGTATGGAGTCACAGTGCGTTTCGTTCTTATTGGCTATCGCATCTAACGGAAGGCTTCGCTCGTTCTCTCATAGAGAGCGTGGACAGCTGAGCATGTGTTTAGTACCTTAACAGACAGAGCAAGTATGTTAAACTTTAAATTTGAATTAACATTGGGAGACAATTCTGGCAGAGCGAAATAAAATTTTTTTTGATGTGATTTCTATCGTCATAAACGAATCTGAAACCGATTTCTCTCTAACCAATTCGGCAAGAAATAAGTTAAGGAAATACTTCTTTGTTTGGCACTTTTTTGAAGTTGAACTAAATATGGAAGCTTTGGATCTTAAGCTTAACTAACAAAGCCACGTGTTCTGAGTTTATATGTGTATATAGCCAAACTGTCTACATTCGCAATTTTTAGATATTTTGTCTTGCTTTCCTTAGCTCTGCATGTAGTTTTGTATTTGTTCATTCCATACTATATTGTATAAGTATATATATATATATATATATATATATATATGTGGCTTGTGCGCGGTATTTTAAGTTTTCTTTTGTTTTTTTTCTTTCATTTTGTTTTTGGTATTTTTTGTTTTTGTTTTAGTCAAAAGGCACTGCTGCATTCTAGCGCATACTTTTCTGGGCTTTGCAATTCACCCACTCTCTGTCTCTATCTCTACATATATATATATATGTATATATATATATATATATATATATACATACATACCTAAAATAGTATGTTTTCTGCATTTGCAAATGTATTTGTGTATTGACGTGATTTTGCTTTAAATGTACTTAGCGTCCACACAGTATTTCGTATATATTGTGCTTTCTAAAATCGAAATATATATATATGTATACGCATGTAAAATATATACATATATATATATTTTAATCAATACAAAGACAATTTGTATTAGCAAGTCCTTTATAACTAAGCTTTACATTGAAACTCGAAACATTTACAACATATTTTGAAGCACACCGAACGAATCTTAAGTCTGACACACATACACATACATATGCACACACACACTAATTACTTAAAGGTAACAGCAACAACACACACACACACACACACACACACACATGTTCTAGCTGTTTGTTGTTGCTGTTGCATGTTTGTTGTGCCATAGGAACACGTTCGGCCATTGGAAGCGGCGGCGGCGGCGACCAAGAGCAGATCGAAGCCTAATTAATTACAGTTATTAGCCAATATTTTGTTGTTGTTGAATTGTCTATCTAAATATACATAAACAAATGGGTTCGTAAACCATTTTCAATTGTGCATTTTGATCAATTTGCCAAAAAATACCAAAAAAAATACCAAAAAAATAAGAATGAAAAACAACTCGAAATACTGCAAAGGGAATATCCCTAATACTGCTGGGCCTTCAGAGCTCTGACTAAAAGCAACTTTTATTTGAAACTCTTCTTTGATTTATACGTAAAACTTCTTCAAGCATTAGTCGAAGTTGTCTGCTCTGAGGAGAACCCTTTTTTAGTATTTTTTTGGTATTTTTTGGCACCTTGATGTCCGACGACCTACGAAGCTGCGTTTCGATTAAAAGCCTACATCTGGAGTCGCTTGAGCTGCTTGGGCGCCGCGCATTATTCGAGTTGATCGTCTTGGCTTTGGTCTTCGTCCTCGATGGCGTCCTCGTCGTGCTCGTTGAGCAGGGGACTGTCGTCGCCCAGGCGATTGGGCGGCAGGCCGCTGCCCGGTGTTGTGGGCGCCGAGCGCGATATCCAGCCCTTGCGGGCGACCCGTCCGCGGTTCACGAAAAAGTTAGCGCCGCTAACCACGCTGCTAATGGGACTTTTGAGCACACAGCGTTGGGCAGCTGGCGGCGCCACCACGGCCATCGGTATGTAGAGCGCCTTGTTGGGCGGCTTCGAGGCATAGAACTTCTTGGCTCTGCTGGGCGTTGCGGTTGTGGGCGTGGTTGACGTCGATGTGGCCGCCGCATGCTGCTGATGCTGCAATGTGGCGGGTCGAGCCAACGGCTTGGCCAGCCCATGCTGTGCCAGCTGCGGCTTGGCCAGCAGCAGCTGCTCATAGCTGACGTCCGCTTGGAGCTTGCTAATCTGATCCAGTATCTCGCGCACCTCGCCCGTCGGGCTGGTCGCCTGTGGCGGCGATCCGGGCGTGCCAATGTTGGAGAGGCTGCTCACGCCCGACACGGTGCTGCCCGTTGTCGGCGCCGCTGCCGCCGCCGCCGCCGCCGCTTCCACCGCTGACACCAGCTGGCAGCAGTTCTCCAGGCTGTGCAGCGGATTCGATTGAATGCAGCCGTTGTTGTACATGACCGGCGTGCCGCCGGCAGCCAGCGCCAGGCTGCACAGAGAAGTCGCTTGCGTGGCGACGCCACTCGCGATGCCGCCGGCGTCGTTGGCTGCCGCCGCACCGAAGCCCGCCGCGCAGCTGTTGTTCACAAAAATATCACTGAGGCTACTGCGACTGTTCGCCATGTAGCGGAAATGCTGGTCGCTCTGCGATTGCAGGAACCCGCCGCCAACGCCGGGCACATGCACGAGCCCGGTCGAGTCCATGCCGGACTCGTCTGGCGAGAAGTGTCCGCTGTGCGAGCTGTGCAGCCGTGTGCTGTAGTGGGCCGTGCCAGCGCCGAGCCCCACATTCCTGTCCAGCGCAACGGTCGCATAGTGGGCACGCGGCTGGTACTCCGGCTCGACCAGCTGGGACGCGGAGCGTGGCAGGCCGTATTGTGGCGCCGCCAGTTGGGAGTTGGGCGGCGGCTCTCTGTTGGCGCCATAGTGCAGGCCCAGCTCGGGGCTGGCGGCCCGGGAGTAGGGCGGCGGCACCAGTGTGTTGGCCTCGTTGATGTTGCAAATGAAGCTCGAGCTGAGCGAGTCCACGGTGCTGGCGGCGCTCAGGGAGCCCGCCGGACGCACAATATAATTGCGAAAGTATTGCACCATCAGATAGCTGGAGCCGGCATTGCCTTTGCTGTTTTCGTTGTTGCACGTGAAGACGAGCGGATAGAGATCCGGCTTTGAGGTGACCTGCCAAGCCAAACAAGATATCAGCTCCAGTCTCCAGCAGATCAATTCGCAGATCAACTCACCTCAGTGTACGGCGGCGGCGGATGGTGGAACGAGTTGCAGCGACTGTATTGCGGCGGTGCGTAGCACGAGCCGGCCGAGTCCCCCTCGGACTGGGTGTGATGCTCCGTGAAGCCCCAGCCGCACAGTGTGCGCCGCTTCTTCCATAGCGAGTAGGCACAGAGTATAGCTAAGATCACGGCCACCACGACGCACCTGAAGACGAGCACAGAGAAGAGAGAAAGTTGGGGAATGAAAAGGTTTTTTCTTGTTCGAGTGCCTGAGGCTCTCTTACTGCTCCGTTTGCAGTTGGCGTGTCTGTATGAAGAAGCCCATGACGAGCTCAAGTCGAGGGCTAAAATAGAGACGGCCGGCTGCGTTCGTAATCGAATGCCAACTAAATGGGCTGCCTATTTGCTTGGCTTTTTGGCGACGTGAGATTTGATTATGTGAACGAACACAAAGGGGTAGGGGGTAAAGGGGTAGGGAGGGTTGGGGGTTGGAACTGCGGTTGGGCCAGTGACAGTGAACAGAGACAGTGCCTCATTAGTTGGCAATGCCATTTGGCGCTTTCTGTCTCGTCTGGGGATCCGGGGTGCAGCCGACTTGCATAAGGCCTTGTCTTGACTTGACGCAACTCAGTCAGGGGCCAACTGGCTGCCAATAATAATACTCATACTCGTATCTGCTGGGCCCCAAACAATGCCAATCAGCCCCGGACAAGCGACCTTGAACGCTTTGCAGCGCCCCTCGTCCCAGGGGACTGCGACTGCAGCCACAATGCATGCACATTAGATTTATATCATTTTCTAAATGGTCTGCTACTTACCAAAAGAACCAGTGGCTGATAAAGAACAGGTTCAGTACGTGCTCCGATGGCGGTGGCAGCTGCCTCGGTCCGCTCTGATAGGGGGGACAGCAGCCCTGGGTGCAGCATTCCCGAGGCAGCGAACAGATGTGCCCGCCCTCGCAGAATCGGGCTCTGACCTGGGAAATGAAACGAAAGACAAAGGGTCATTAAAAGCAGTCAAGGCATTGCCCCTGTATATTGTATGCTACGAGCAATTATAAATATTAACAAGCAAGAGGAGTATAATCAAGAAAATTAATTGTTAGAACAACCAATTTGAATGAATGTTGCACAGACAGAGAGCCAGACAGACGGACAAACAGACAGACAGACAGACAGGAAGACAGACACAGCGCTTAGCTTCAATGTCAATAGGTAAATCGAAACAAAACAAAAAGCAATCAACAACAAAATCAACAAGACAAGAAGGAACAATTTTATTCCAAGTTCAAAACACGGCTGCAAGCAAGCAACAACTAGAACTGGGTACATAATATTAAAGCAGTACAACAGTATAGAAGTATAACAGTATAACAGTATAACAGTATAACAGTATAACAGTATAACAGTATAACAGTATAACAGTATAACAGTATAACAGTATAACAGTATAACAGTATAACAGTATAACAGTATAAAAGTATAACAGTATAACAGTATAACAGTATAACAGTATAACAGTATAACAGTATAACAGTATAACAGTATAACAGTATAACAGTATAACAGTATAACAGTATAACAGTATAACAGTATAACAGTATAACAGTATAACAGTATAACAGTATAACAGTATAACAGTATAACAGTATAACAGTATAACAGTATAACAGTATAACAGTATAACAGTATAACAGTATAACAGTATAACAGTATAACAGTATAACAGTATAACAGTATAACAGTATAACAGTATAACAGTATAACAGTATAACAGTATAACAGTATAACAGTATAACAGTATAACAGTATAACAGTATAACAGTATAACAGTATAACAGTATAACAGTATAACAGTATAACAGTGTAAAAGTATAAAAGTATACCAGTATAAAAGTATAACAGTATAACAGTATAACAGTATAAAAGTATAACAGTATAACAGTATAAAAGTATAACCGTATAAAAGTATAACACTAGTATAATAATATCTTTATAGTAGTATAACAGTAAAATATATAATAGAAAATGGCAAAACAAAATATTTAAAACTAAAAAATATGAAAATTCCAGAACAATTATCAAGTCTATAGAAGGGTTGCTGTGCTTCTGCTTAAAGACTGTTAACCAGTTAAGATAGATACTGAAACCAGACTATATAAAATTTCATGATACAACCAAATTTTAATTTGTTATTCTTGCATAGTTCACTCGAACTATGAATTTTGCGAATTTCTTCTGCTGAAATTTCAATAAAGATTTCTTAATAGCTTGCATACATTGAGGGGCAGAAGATGTGGTAAACATTTCGCCACTACAACATCGCAAAGCCAACAGCCAAGTTAATCCATGGTATCTACCAAGAAGTGGCGTTGCCTCTGTGTAATTTTGGCAAATGTAATTTGAGCTTAGGCTACAAAGCGCTTGCAACATTTATGTGTCTGGCAAACTTACTTGAACGGGCAGCCGCAGCAGAGCGAAAAGTATTGGAAATAGACGGAGCATTGCTGAAGCATGAAACCACATGGTGGCCACGATGTTGTCCAACTGGCGCCAAATGTCGATTGGGGTGGTTCGCCTTACCCTGTCTGGGGTTGTTGCTGCTGTTGTTTAGCTGCAGGCTGCGTTGTTGTTCGTGCGATTCTGCTCGTCCGTTTTTGGTGTTCTTGAATGTTTGAGCTAGTTTCGTGTCTCGATGATTTTGATACCCTTTCGCTTAAAGTACACACACACACATACACACGCACACGCATACACACACACGCACGCACGCACGCAGGCACGCACACAGGCAGACGAGACACCAGTCGCTACATGGCAGGGTGTTTTGTTTTGTCCTTGACAGACAATGCAATTTTTCGCTGCATACTTTTGTACTGGTTGCCAAACGAGCTGCCTCTTGCCTCTTGCCTTTGTTGTTGGTTTTTGATGCGCTAACTGCTTTTCAGTGTTTACTGCAACATTAGTCGATAAACTTTCAGAGAGCAAACAATTTTCGTTTGTCTGTGCATGTAGCTATGCAAATAGATGACAGCATAACGACACTTACACACGCACACTCGCACACACTCGCACGCACTCACACACACAGACGCACACACACACGCACGCGCGCGTATACAGCAAAAGCCAATCGTGTTATTTATTTATTTTCTATACTCTTTTAGCTCCAATTCTTTTTTTTTTGGTTTTAATATTTTTCTCGGTCGATTGTGCTCCTCTAAGTACATACAAACACTCACACAGTCGCAACATAAAAAAAAATAATTTTTTTTTTGCTTGTTTTCGTGTAACAGCACTTTGCCAACGGTTTTCTTTTCTCCTTCTTCGCGTGCCTTAACAGTTATTGTACTCTTTGCTCCTTGGTTGTTGTTGTTGACAGGCAGTAAACAATTACGGAATACGAAAATGTTGTTGCTGCACACCCAGGGACCAACGGATGGCCGTCGCTCAGTCAGCGGGCTGCAGACAGCGGGAGCACAAACAGTACAAAGTCAAGCGTGCCACGAGTGTACAATAACAACTGACAAATCTCTAACAAATATTAGAAACAGCGAGCGACAGGCTTGCCAAGGCAACTGGGGCCGCGCCTGCTGCTAGGCAAGAAAAGCTCTCTTCACTTTGCCCGACGCTGCCAACCCTTACAGCTGACTATAAGCTTTCTGTCGAGCTTTCGGTAGCTAGCAATAAACAAAGCTCTTGCTCACTTCTGTGTATGTACATATGACGTTTATTTTGTTATCAAAGCTCAAGCTTGGGTGTTAAAAAAAGCTCAGTATTGAGTGCTCATCACAGCAGAATTTAAGCGAATCGCTTTACGATTGCCATCAAAAAATGAAATAAATCGGAAATAAGAATTCCGATTTCCGATTGAGATACACATTAATATATACTGAGTATATTCATTGTGACTAAACTCAAACAATATGCTTTTATTTATTTGCTTTCATAATCAAAGTATTCGCGGTTGGATAATAATTTTTCTATATTTAATAAATATCTAAATGAATTGACAAAAATTTCGTCTTTTCTATAATTTGATTGTTGATACTATAAACTTAAATACTTTCAAGCTGTGAACCAAATAAACCCGTTATATAATATATATATTTCATTTAGGTTTTCTATAAGAGCTTTGATTTCCAGGTTTTGCATATGCCGTCTGCTACTTATTATATAGTAGAAAATGATATATTGGAAAATTCATAATTAAATGGCAAGTCTTTTATAACAATTAAACAGCTAAATATTGCCAATAGCCTAAACAGTCGCTGAACTATAGTTGTTATAAATAGTATCGCTCATGTGTGGTCAGCCTAGGATTTCTTTATACTCTACGAATATCGAATCTTTTCAACTAAAACTGTAAAGCTACTCGCTTAAAATACTCAACATATTCCTTATAAACAAATTGAAATTGCTTTAAGTTTGACTAGAGGCAGAAGTTGAGAATCGCTCGAGCTGTCTGAAATATTAGAAGTTGAGAAGGAAAAGAATTTGTTTTTTACACAATTGAACTCTTTTGAATGGAGTCTGCTTGTTTAATTGCCATAAATTTAGCTTTTAAAGTATTTAGTGAGAGAAATTGCCAATTGTTGGTTCCTTAACTCTAAGCGCAACATCAGAAGCGGTTGCTTTGTTTGCTAATTGCCTTGTCGGGGATGGTGTCGGTTGGGCGTTTAGAAGTCCTTGTTGCTCTCCCAGGAGGTGTGCACGCCGTGGTAGCTGTTCTGCTTCTGGGCGGGTGCGTTGCGGCCGAAGGGGCTCTTGGGGTTCACCTGGAGGATGTAGTCGCCCTCAATGTCGTAGGCAGCATCGATGCCCATGTAGGCGCGCTTGCCGAAGCCATCGTTCTGCTTGTACTGCTTGAGGGAGTTGGCGGGCACCGCGGGGAAGCTACGCTCGTAACCTGGGCGAACGGACTCGGCGAAGTAGCGGGTGGCGCGCATCGAGGCCTCCACAACGTTCTCGGCGCCGGGAACACCGGTGGCCGGGCCATTGGGATAGAAGTCAACATCGCCGCTGCGGATGGGTGTGCCCATGCCGTAGACGGACGTGTGGATGGCATCAACGAACTCGGCATCGCCGCGAGCCAGACCGGTTAGGGTGTTACGGTTCTTGGCAACAATGTGGCTGGGGTCCAGGCCGGTGACGCGGCGCAGCTTTTGGCCAGTCAGGCGGGTGAACTCGTTGGCAGCAGCGCCGGCAACATGAGCGCCAACATTCTGGCCAATCAAATGGATGGTCTCATAGGGCAATTGCAGCTCGTTGGTCAGCTGAGCAATCCATTTGCCGAGCTTGGCGCCGGTCTTCTCAATGTCCAGCATGGCGTAGCGCTTGTAGTTGGTCAAGGTGGAGCCCAAGTCAATCACCTGTGCGGGTAATACGAATGAATGGCTTAGTAAATCTCTCTCTCCCCCCCTCTCTCTCACTCTCTACTTACAATGATGTCGCCGGTGTTGGTGTTGGCGTTCTTGGCCTGCTCGCTGTAGTCCTCCTCGCTGGATGTGCGCTGATTCTTGTTGCTCTCCTCGAAGTCGCGGTTGTATTTCTGGGCCTCTTGCTGCTGCTGTTGCTGGTTGTAACGCTGCATGTAGGCCTGGATGAGCTTGCGGTTGGCCTTCTTCACGGGCTCGCTGGTCTGGGGCAGGCCAGTGACGATGATGGTCACCTCATCCTGTCCGAAGTTCTGCTTCTGCTTCAAACGGTTGATCATCTCGGTCATGGGTGCAACAATCTTCTCACCATTGGGCTTGGGCACATAGGCCTGAACGTTGCTGGGCACAAAGTTGGGCTCCACATCGTGGTTGATCTGCGACAAGTGATCTGTCCGAAAGCAAGGCAGCCCATTAGCTAATGGCCAGGCAGGCAAAGATGGCTTCCAAATACTTACACACTTGCTGCAACAGCTCAGCGCCCTTCTCCAGGGACATGTTCTCCAAGCGCTCCAGCGTCAGCTCGTCCACAGCGGGAATCGATTCCAACTGCTGCACGGACAGCCACTGGGATGGCTTCAGCGCCTGGTTGACGCTATTGTCGCCCATCCGGGTGGTGGGGCCAGCCATGGCTGCAACAGCCAGACAAGCCAAAAGGCTAAGCACTCGCATGGAATTCATTGTGTTCTAGACCAGGACTTCAACTACTGCAGGAACTTCACTGAGCTCTCAATGTTGCTATGAGTTGAACTGCCTTCCACAGCGCCGAGCTCTACATTTTATAGCACCCAAGCCCATTCACTTTTTGCACCGTCAGACCCCAACCCACAAATGCAGCGTTGCAATTTCTGAACATTGTCTATAGAGTTTGACAACTGAGCATTTCGTATGCTTGATATTGTTACGTGCCCAGCTAAACACATATGCATACGTATGCTTGATAGCCCTATCAACCTGCCTCTCTCTCTCTCTGTGTGTGTGTGTGTTAATCACTCTTAAGGGAAGGCAACAAACTAAGCTGCCTGATAGCAAAATGCTTGAATGGGCAAAATCTTTGTAATCGCTGCACATGCTGTACAAATACATTGTAATACTATATTATATATATATTTATATATAAATATTTATATATATAAATGTACTCAATGTTACACTTAACTGCCATTGCTGGGCGCTCATAGAAATAACAAATCTAACCACATTTACTCTAACAATCTGAAGCTTAAAGAAATGCAGCTGGAGCTGAAAACTTGAAACGATCCCTTATGATATATATGGATATATATATATATATATATATATATATATATATCCATATATATCTATATATATATATATATATATATATTTGATGTTTAAGATGCATGTTTTTTAGCTTGGCTCAGTCTTCTTCTACTTGTTCTCCAAGCAAAGAGAAAGCCTTCTCCAACAACTTTATAGATAGAGCTCTTCTAGTCGTAGATAGTCGGAAAAACTCTCTGCTGCTGTCGCAGGTAATAGTAGAAACTTTTAACTCGTATACATATATATATATATATATATATATATATATATATATATATATATATATATATATATTTATTTATTTAAGGTTAAAGCAGTAATTAAGTAACGAGTAATATATAATATTTATATCTGTTAGGGTTATAGCAGTAGGTAAGCACGCAGTAGATAAAGGCGTGGCTGCTGTGCATTTATTGATTTAGAATTTTATTTAATTTTAGCTGCGTTTTCACATGATTTCCACTTAACGATGCGGATTTGGCAATGTGAGTGTCATATGAGAACTTAGAGCTTTACGAGCCTCATTTAGATTCATATGATTTTGGTCAACTGATCAACCTAACTGTCAGGTTGGACATTGTAAAGTTACAGGCTATAAGCGAAAGGCTTATATAATATTATAATTTTTATAATATTATAATTATATTAATATAATATTAATAATAATAATAATATAATAATAATATTAATACATTTAAAATGTATTTAAAATTTATGACTAGTTAAAAAAAAAATATATATATATATATATATGTATATACTATATATATATTAATATACATATAGTCTATATTTGTTATAGAGTGGCTCACAGTAATCTACATTTGAGAATTGCTTTTGCCACGCCTCTAATGATGGCTTTATAAACGAGTTTATGTTTCAAAATTTAAGTTTCAAATTTCAATATTGGCAATATTTGTGTTCACACAGACGGACGGACGGATGGATGGACGTAGACACAGCCAAACAAATATTATATAAAAATAAGTTTTTTTACAATTCAATTTTGTATTTCCTGCTGAGCAAAGGAAACAGAAAACATAAAATAAAATTTGTAGAAAGTCGATTGGATAAGAAAAAGTTAAAGCTTAGCTTGCAGTCCATAGGAATATCAAATTTGCTTAACAAACAGTTAAATATATCATATATATATATCATATATGTCATATATATATCATATATATCATATATATGCAAATATAGCTGAGAAGTGCTAAGATTTGTTGCCCTTACTTAAGCTCATGCAAGTCGAATAACCAATATTTTTCTTAGCCTTTATTTCTAATATCTTTACCTAATATTTTAGGTTAGTATAAACATTTTATATTATCTGTATATCATGGGTATTAATACAGATTAGCTCAAAACAATATACAAATTCGAGAATGAAAGTTGCGTCTCGATGTAGATTGGGATCTGGGCTCGAAATGCTGTTGTTAGGGAGACATCAGATTGCAGTGGATGCTGTCAGCTGTGTCAGTTAATATAAGCTAGAGTCAGCTCACTTGAAGGTTCATTGAATTGCAGTTACACAAGAGCAGCTGCCACTGCAACTGTTGACACAAGCAGCACATCAAAGTTGCCAAATTGGCGTCGGCGACGGGGGCGGTGGGTCGGAGGGGCGGGTGGGTCTATGGGCGATCGCAACTGATAAAGCGAAAACGTTGAGTGTGTGTAGAAATAGCCGAGTCATCCGATCGATGATTGCCGATTTTCGATTTTGAAAACACGGCGTTGTCTAGAATTTCAGCTGAGCTTCCGAAAAGTGCTGAGCCAGTTGGAAGCACTATGCACCGGTCAGCTCTCTGCTGCTTCCGTTGGCCGACACGTGAGCGCTGACAGCCAGACTGGGAGCTATAAAACCGCTGGGCGATCGGCTAAGAGCATGCAGTACAGCTTGGTACGGCGTCTTGACAATAGAAGAACAAGGGCTTTGGTGGAACTATGAATCCTCTGCGCAATCTGTGTGTTTTGGCCTGTTTCATGGCCGTGGCTCTGGCCACGAACAGCCATAGGCAATCCAACTCGCTGGGCAGCTCCGAGGATCCCAGCAACTGGGTCAGCACCAGCGAAATCGAGCAGCTGCCCATGCTCAAGGATGTGACACTGCGTCGCCTCGAAGGCATGACCGTCGAAGAGGGTGCATCTCTGTTGGACAAGTTGTGTAAGTAGCTGTCGGATCGGCAATGATCGGTTCTTGTCCTGATGCTAATCGACCGTGACTCTGGCATTTTCTAGACCATCTGGCCCAATTCAACCGCGTCTTCAAGCCCGAATACGTGCCAGAGCCCAGCAAGATCAAGGGCTACATTGTGGGCGAGCGCGGCCAGAAGATCGAGTTCAACCTGAACAACTTTGTGCAGACGGTGAAGCGCCAGCCGAACTTCGGCAACGACGAGGTGACCATTTTCATTGAGGGCCTGCCCCAGTCGTGGAGCCAAGCCAACAAGGCCAACCGCAAGCTGATCCAGGCCTACGAGCAGCGCTACAATCTGCAGCCCTATGCCGGCCAGCAGGACAGCGACGAGCAGAAGAGCAACAGCGATGAGCAGGGACAGCAGCGCCGCAAGCAGAACCAGGAGCAGGACGACAACACAACCGGCGATCTGGTGGTCATCACCTTGGGCAATCTGATCGAGGACTTCGAGCAGTACGTCACTCTGAATGTGGAGCGCATCGGTGAGATTATTGGCGAGCGTCTGGTGCAGCTGACCAACGAAGTGAACGTGCCCCAGGAGATCATCCATCTGATCGGCCAGGGACCCGCTGCCCACGTTGCCGGCATCGCTGGTCGCCAGTACACCCGCCAGACTGGACACAAGCTGCGCCGCATCACCGGTCTGGACCCCGCCAGGCTGTACGCCAAGCCCGAGAACAAGCTGAGCGGTCTGGCTCGCGGCGATGCTGACTTTGTTGACGCCATCCACACCTCTGCCTACGGCATGGGCACCCAGGAGCGCCACGGCGATGTTGACTTCTATCCCAATGGCCCCGCTGCCGGTGTTCCCGGCGCTGACAACGTTGTGGAGGCCTCGATGCGCGCCACCCGCTACTACGCCGAGTCCGTTCGCCCAGGCAACGAGCGCAACTTCCCAGCCGTCGCCGCCAGCTCCTACAAGGAGTACAAGCAGAACAACGGCTATGGCAAGCGCGCCTACATGGGCATCGCCACCAGCTACGACATCCGCGGCGACTACATGCTGCAGGTGAACTCGAAGAGCCCCTTCGGCCGCAGCACCCCCGCCCAGCCACAGACTGGCTATCACTCCTACCACGAAAGCTGGAAGCAGCAGCAGAAGAACCTGGCCTAAGCACCTCTCCACACAGCGAATCATGCAGCAAGCCATCAATAATTCGAGAACAACAACAAAGCATTTTCCTTCCATATTGATTGCCTAGTTTACGCTTAGTTTTCAAATAAATTCTTGCATATTTAAAAAGTACTTCAATTGCCTTCTCAATTCCTCAATTTCCTTATAGGAAAGTCGCTGAGCTAGCCAGAAATCAACTTTGCATATACTGAACTGGCATATAGCTTATAGAATACCCTTGACTTTTGGAGAGATCTATGCGCGTGCGCACAGTGAAGAGCGTATGTTGTGGGCTGTTCCTCCAGCTGAGCCTCCAACTGTCCAACTGTCCGACTGTCCGTATGCATGCTACCCATTGCTAAGCTGCTTATTAAGTTTATTTTTCTAATTTCAGGTCTCTAGTTCTTGCAATTAGATGGGCAAATACAGAAAGACAGACGTAAGGACAGACGGACGAACAGATCGACTCAGCTCTTCGTGCTGATCAAGAATATATATACGCCTGCTTCTGCCTGTTATATGCACATATATATGTATATGTTAACTTATAACACTTAGTTAGCTTATAACACTTAATGTTAGGTATTATTCAACACTTATTATCGGGTGCTAGACAAGTTAAGGAACAGCCCTGGCAAGGGCAACTCTACTTACGCCGGTGAGGCTATGATTTGTAAAAATATAGATCAGTCTCGTGTTTTAACTCGTACTGATAGGACATGCTAAAAATTGGTGTCATATAAGTAAAACTAAAAATAGTGAATATAATAAGAAAAACCAATAAAATTAACTGTTTCGATTATTCAAAAAAGAACAATTAAAAGCAGGGTTAAAAAGCGTTCTTCCAGTAAACCGCTTAAATAAATATTCACTCCGTCATTTGCTCGTTAAATGGCTTATTTCATTGTCTGAGCCCGAGGCCAGCAATAAGAGGCACAGTCGCCTCTCAACCTAACTTTCAGTCACCACAGGACTGGAAAACATATAATTGGCGCCCAACTAGTGGTCGGACTCCACAACCAACAACAATTAAGACAGCAGCGCGGGAGCTGCAATTGACAGATCTTATAAAGGGATTTTTTTTTTTGTTTTGTGTTAGTTGAATCTTGTAAGTGGATACTCTAGCCAAAATTTTTCTTCAAACACAAAAAGTGTTAAAATTTATTTTATAAAAAAATACCTAGGACTAGCGAGTATTTTATATTGCAATTGCATGTAAAAAAAAAAAAAAAAAAAAATTAATGATCAGAACCAAGTGAGAGTGACTACTTTGGGAATTTTAGTGGCAGCAATTGATCATTCAGATCGTCAATAAAATTACATTGTGTTACTTTCTGTGTGTCTGAAGTTGTGCATGCAGTTCTCGTAGTTCAGAGCTGTGACGTAATTCGACCCATCTTCTGACGGTCCGTTTTATTTTTCGCGACCACTGACCTGCGCATGTCTCGGTTCAACCAATAGAGAAACCCTCGCAGGCAGTCTAGCGACTCAGATTCCGACTGTGCAGTTCTCCCACCATCAGGTAGAATGGATGTAGATCAGCTTACGGAAGTAATAAGGACGGCTATCAGCAAAGCTTTAGCCGAACAGGCTGCTGTAAACCAGCAGAGGGAGCATGCATGGACTCAAAAAATTAATGAGTTAGCTGAACAAATAGCAGATGCATCCCCATTAGTTAGAAGTTCTTTTTTGAAAATGCTGAAGACCAGACAAAAGGCCTTTGCAGACCCAGACGAGACGTTGCCGTATAACACATCAGTCGTGGCTACCATTAGGACCATAGATGAGCAACCGATCTATACCAAGCTTTACCCATATCCAATGGGAGCGGCTGATTTCGTTAATAAAGAAATCAAAGATCTACTAAAGAATGATATAATTCAAAAGTCCGTCTCTCCCTACAATAACCCAATATGGGTAGTAGACAAGAAGGGCACTGATGAAGCGGGCAATAGGAAAATGAGGTTGGTAATGGACTTTCGTAAACTTAACGAAAAAACCGTGCCGGACAAATACCCTATGCCAAATATATCAATGATATTGGGGAATTTGGGGAGAGCCAAATTCTTTTCAACATTAGACCTCAAGTCTGGTTATCACCAGATCATACTCGCTGAACGCGACCGTGAAAAAACCTCTTTCTCTGTAAACGGGGGGAAATACGAGTTCAAAAGACTCCCCTTTGGATTAAAGAATGCAGCAAGCATCTTTCAAAGAACCATCGACGACATACTGCGAGAGCAGATTGGCAAATTTTGCTATGTTGATGTCAATGACGTAATCATCTTTTCAGAAGATGAGGAATCCCACATTAAACACGTGGATAGGGTCCTAAAAAGCTTACACAAAGCAAACATGAGGGTCTCCGTCAAAAAGTCACGTTTTTTTAAGAAAAGCGTGAACTTTCTTGGTTTCGTAGTCACCAGCACTGGCACCACGACGGATCCTGAAAAGGTTAGGGCAATACAGGAGTATCCAGAACCAAAAACGCTGTTCGAGGTTAGATCATTTCTAGGCCTCGCAAGTTATTACAGATGTTTCATTAGGGACTTCGCCGCAATAGCAAGACCCATCTCGAATATCCTGAAGGGTGAAAATGGAACAGTCAGTAAGCATAGGTCCAGAAATATAAAGGTTCAATTCTCTGAAGTGCAGCAGAGGGCATTTCAGAAGTTGCGCGATATTTTGTCATCCGAGAATGTAATGCTCAGGTACCCCGATTTTAAGAAGCCATTCGATCTAACGACCGACGCTTCGGCTCACGGCATAGGTGCAGTTTTGTCTCAAGAGGGTCGTCCTATAACAATGATTTCAAGAACATTGAAGGACAGTGAGGTTAACTATGCAACCAATGAGAGAGAGTTATTGGCCATTGTATGGTCACTTGCCAAATTAAGGCACTATTTGTATGGGGTGAAAGACATTAATATCTTCACTGACCATCAACCCTTGACCTTCGCAGTTTCGGAATCTAATCCAAATGCGAAAATCAAAAGGTGGAAAGCGCGCATTGACGAGTCTAATGCACGTATCTTCTATAAACCTGGCAAGGACAATCTGGTTGCGGATGCCTTGTCAAGACAGCAGCTCAACGCTATAAATGAGCAAGAAATTGAGTCCTGCGCAGCAACGATCCACAGTGAGGTATCTCTCACCAACACCATTGAGACGACAGACAAACCCTTGAACTGTTTTCAAAACCAGATAGTGCTAGAAGAGGCGCGTTTCCCCTTAAAACGAAGTTTTATTCTTTTTGGAAATAAGAAACGCTACTTGATCAGCTATACATGCGTCGAATCGCTGCTAGACGAGCTCGAAGATGTAGTCTCACCCAAATGCGTAAATGCTCTCCACTGTAATTTACACACGCTTGCAATGATACAAGATGCATTGGTGCGAAGATACCCAGCCACAAAGTTCTGGCATTGCAAAAATCGCGTAGTGGACATATTTGCGGTTGGAGAAAGAAGGGAAATCCTCACAGTCGAGCATAATAGGGCCCATAGGTCTGCACAGGAAAATGTTAAGCAGGTACTCTCGGAGTACTACTTTCCACGGATGGCAAAAATTGCCAAGGAAATAGTACAAAACTGCAAAACATGTGCTAGGGCTAAGTATGATAGACACCCCAAAAAGCAAGAGCCACAAGAAAAGATAGAAGAAAAGATCAGAAACGCTCAGACGACGCTCAGAGCTAGGGAGAACGCAAAGCGGCAGAATAGAGTCTTCGATGTTGGTGACAAGGTTTTGGTCAAGTCCAACCGACGGCTCGGAAACAAACTCACACCTTTATGTGTCGAGAAGGCCGTGGAAGCAGACCTGGGGACCGAGGTCCTCATTAAAGGAAGGGTGGTCCACAAGGACAACCTAAGATAACTCCCTTGTTTTTTTTATTACACCTTTTATTATAAGCCGCTAGGCAATTTAGAATAAGTTAGATATAGTTTTTCAATTTACCTTTAGCCACTTGGCATAATTTTTATAAAACATTTTGGTGGCGGGTACACCCGATGCCGGTCATTTAGAGTAGATTAGGTCCACTGAAATGCGACTAATGAATGCCAACAGTAGACGGATAGAAGTAAACACTGAGGTTCAAGACCAGCTTAACCAGTTAACATTTGCTGTCAATGGAGTTCTCGGGATAGCCAAAACTCACAAATTGATTTATTTATTTGAAACACTGAAACACTGTCCAGAAACAGAATGCGGACGATCGAGTTGCAAAGTTTAATGCTTGCTATTACTCTCGCGAAGGCTCATTGTTAGCCCAAACATTTTGGACTCCTCAGATTTAAAATCAATTTGGCTAGAGGAATCCATCAACACTATACATTTTATAACCAAATTCCCAAAAATTAAAAAAGCCTGCAGAAAAATTACGATTTATCCTGTCGTCCACAAGAACCAGCAACAGCTCTATTCGCCCCATAGTTGGATGCTAAGCCAGAACCACAGCATGCAAATCTACAAGCGGAATCGTTGAGGAAACCCCCTTGTTCACGGCACCACCACCAACAGTAGAAGCTCATCAGCCAGCAACAACTAACGAACTCTTCGCGGCGGCAGAGCCAAGCGACTCTTCATCCATACTAGAACCAAGTTGCTCCAACCGCTGCCCATCTCTGTCGACACCTGCCACGGCTGCCGGCTCATCCTCATCCTCATCGGCAGCGGCGTCACGTCAACTGCAGCTGCCGGCATTGTCGGCAGTTGCCGCACGGCAACAGCAGCTACTGCTGAACGGCTCTCTGAAGAGCAAGACGAAGACATTTCCTGCGTATCGAGCATCGGTGCGCAGCGAGAGCGACGACAAGGAGTACAGGGCGGCTAGCAGCAGCAGCAACACGATACCGACGACGGGCAAAAGTCGGCCAAGATCAGCGGCAAGAACTGTAACAATCTGCTGCACAACGCCGGCAATAAGCTAAGCGTGAGCAGCAACTCCTTCGGCCTATACGCAGCATCTGGCATCATCGCCCAAGAGCCCTGTCTCCAGCAACGGCCATCTGAACAAATACTGCCTGACGGACTTGACGCGCCGCAAGGCCGAATTCAATCGCCAGCTGAGCGCGCCGACAGACTACACACATCACTCGTCCAGTAACGGCTCATAGCATCGCTGGAGTGGTGGGACACAGTCATCACGGCCATCACGGGCACGTGCACGGCCAGTCATCGACGGCGCCAGCCACACTCAAGTCGCTGCAGCTGCACAACTTTGGTGTGCATCATCCGATGCCAAGGCCCACGTCCACGTTGTGCACCAACAGCTTCAACAGACGCCACATACGTAGGCGCAAGAGCAAGCTTAGTAAGCGCCTGCTGAACGGCGATAGCGAAGAATCAGTACGCTGCTCATACTGCTCCGTATTGAATGTGAATGAGAACGACTTGCGGATTTCATTCGAGAACACCTGCACCGACTCGCTGGTCACCGCTGCTAATATGCGACCAAGGAACCGAAATGGTGCACTTTGATGATGTGTCGTTGTACGGCACTCCGAAAGAGGAGCCATATGCTGTGCTTTAATCTGCATTGGCCTCACTCTTTGGTGGATCATCGACGCAAAGAAGTCCGCGAAGCACTTGCGAGGAGTCGTCGCTGGAATTGGGTCGGTCGAGGACGACCTTACACTTGAGGGGGGGGTAGTTAACTTATAACACTTAGTTAGCTTATAACACTTAATGTTAGGTATTATTCAACACTTATTATCGGGTGCTAGACAAGTTAAGGAACAGCCCTGGCAAGGGCAACTCTACTTACGCCGGTGAGGCTATGATTTGTAAAAATATAGATCAGTCTCGTGTTTTAACTCGTACTGATAGGACATGCTAAAAATTGGTGTCATATAAGTAAAACTAAAAATAGTGAATATAATAAGAAAAACCAATAAAATTAACTGTTTCGATTATTCAAAAAAGAACAATTAAAAGCAGGGTTAAAAAGCGTTCTTCCAGTAAACCGCTTAAATAAATATTCACTCCGTCATTTGCTCGTTAAATGGCTTATTTCATTGTCTGAGCCCGAGGCCAGCAATAAGAGGCACAGTCGCCTCTCAACCTAACTTTCAGTCACCACAGGACTGGAAAACATATAATTTATATACATATGTATATATGTATATATATATGTATATACATATATATATATGTATATATATATATATATATATATATATATATATTGGTTATTTGTCCCAGCTCGCGCCTCGCAGCTCAGCTCCTGCTTCTCCTCCTACGCCTGTCCTCTTCAACGAAATATCAAAGTAAATTTCAAATTGTATAGTTAAAATAGTTTACATAAATATTTAAATATTTGAATATTTATTTTAAGCAGTAGTGCAAAGAGAGCTTCATAGTGCACATACTTTTGGCTGTGACTGTATATCTAAGCTCCGCTCAGAGCTTTTGAGATGGGATAGCCGCCCGAGCAGATTGATCGCGTGACAGCGAGTTCCAGCTAACTTTTGTCTGCTGATGAGCCTAGCCACTTGCAGCTTGACGTGGTCCAAAATAAACAAAATAAAGCTCATGAGAATGGATGAGAAGAGCGCAATAAATTATATATATTATTATTATTATTATTATTATTATTATTATTATTATTATTATTATTATTATTATTATTATTATTATTATTATTATTATTATTATTATTATTATTATTATTATTATTATTATTATTATTATTATTATTATTATTATTATTATTATTATTATTATTATTATTATTATTATTATATTTTGAGTGCTTTGGCAGCTGGCGGAATATGTTTCCTCGAGGCTAGCAGCACTGCAAAATATCCACTTCATATAGCTATATGCAAACAGATACATGAATAAACGACATAGCCAAGATAATGCTCTAGCAGTAAGACTTCTGGATGACTCAAGCAACCACAGGCGACTCAAATATTACATGTCCTAGACCTGCCCCACAGAAATAGATAAATATGTAAAGTAGATAAATATATGGATTGATCTCATTGGAGCCCCAGCCATCCGGTTACGTAATATTATTGTTAACAAATTTGTTTATTGTCTAGTATAAGACAGAGATAAGACAGATAAAACAGAAATTAAAAATAAATAAATAAATAAAAAAAATATATATAGCTATGCCCATTAGGCAAAACTCTAACTTTTCCAAAATTCCAGTTTGAATTTCCATTTCCCTTAATGTTCTCTAGGCATTGTGGGCGTGGTCAATCGAAGAGAACCGTAGCAACTGAGAGAGAGCGAACTGTACAAGCGGAGTCTTGCCCAGTTTTGTAGATGGCTCAGCGTTGAGCTCTGCCAACGATTGAGCTACGAATGAGATGATAAACGAAAAGATTGATTGATTGATAGATGTAGATGTTTGTCCTGGGAGAAACAGCATTGTACGTTTATATAAATTTATTGATTGATTGATATTGCAGCAAATTACAGTTCGTATAATATATACCTAAATATCGTACTTCCATTGCAATCTGTATTGAATATAAGCAGCCTATATATTATATTTTCATACAACAATAAAGAAACAAAAAAAACAAGAAATTTGAATTATCTTCGGTGATCCGATGTCTAAATACACTATCTTTTAGCTGGGCGTTATCTATGAAGTTAGAGGGTATAGATTAGACGCGTCTGTATAGGTAGTAACTGGATTGGGAACGAAGCAGAGTTAAGTTAAGATTGAGGCTTAGCTCTTCGTGCCATGGCATATGATATAGTCCGATCCGTTCCGACCAACTATATGTGTCTAAGAGCTAGACTAGCGTGCAAAGAAGTAGGCAGTCGGACGGACTGACAGTGGACCTAAGACTCCTAGCCAAGGTATACAAATATATCATATATATATATATATATATATATATATTTATATATATATATTTATATATTTATATATATGAAGCTTACACACATTTAAATACAAATACATATATATATATATGTTCTCAAAAAAACTATTCACAAGAAAAAATGATGGGCCACATGAAAGATGGAATGATTGGTGTTTGGAAGTGCAGAGTGGGGCGCTTGGGTCTATATTCAGTCAGTGACCCCGTGCCGGAGGCTTCAATCGCGGCAGGCTCGGCCGTCGCTGGTTGCCGTGTAGGTGCACATGCCGCTGTCGCCATCGTAGCCGAGTCCTTTGGGGCAGGTGTACTCCCAGCCAACGATGCCGCCGGTTCCGTCGAACTTGGCACACGAAATGAACTTGCGGCAGCTGAGCGGATGCGGAAAGTTGCCCTGATCCCGGCACTCAATGATGCCCTGCCCATGGACAATCACCTTCGGCGCCCTGGACTGCAGCTGTCGCGCCTTCTCGCCGCGTCGGCGCGTCTGTGGCGCCACAGTCGCCGAGCTGGGCTCGGAGTTATCGCCAGCATCCGAACGACGATGCGATGTGGCCGCGGCCAGCGCCAGCTTGCTCAGCGGCCGATTATAGACCTCGATGTACTTGTGCGGCCGCCGGCGGCTCTGTTGACGACGCGATGCTGGCGGCGATGCTGCGGCAGAGCTGCTCGCACTCGGCGCAGGCGTGCTGGACTGTGGTCGACGTGGGCGCGGTATCATCTGACGGCCTGCAAAAGCAACTAGATTACCATCTGAAACCGGGTGCATTTAGAATAGTTTCCTCACGTGTGCTGTTGGCCACAAAAGCGGGCGGCCGTTGGGTCGTGGTGCTGGAGCTGGAGCTGGAGCTATGCAGCGGACGCAGCTGCTCCGCAATCTGATTAAAGCGACTCGTGTGTATGCTGGACCTGGCCACCTGATCGTCATCGTCCTCAATCCCGTACAAGAAGGTCGTCGTCTCAATTGACAGAGCTGTCGTTGTCGTTCGCGGCGGCGGTAGGGTCGAGGTAAGCGTTAGGCGTCGCTTAAACAGTGGATTCTGCGTGCGAGGTACATCTGTGACTGATATAGATATAGATATAGATATAGATATAGATATAGATATATATATAAAATCGATAAAAATCGATTTAAGATTTGACGTTCTTACAGAAGTCAACTTGGTAGATGGCGAGACAGATAGTCAGACAGACAGAAAGAGAGACATACACATAGAGGGACACAGAAAAAGGCAGAGAGAAAGTCTGAAAGTCAGACAGATAGGCAGATAGAAAGAAATAGAGAAAGACAGGCAGAGAGGCACTCTGAGAGAGAGAGGGAGAGAGAGAGAGAGGGGGAGAGAGAGAGAGAGAAAGAAAGTCTGACAGTTAGACAGTTGAACAGACAGAAAGAGAGAGGGAGACAGAGGGAGCCAGTCAAAGAGAAAGAGAGACAGACAGAAAGAAGTACAGAGAAACAGATCGAGAGACAGCAAGATAGACAGAGAGAAGAGACTGACAGGCAGGCATAGAGAACGTGAGATATACATATAGAAAGACAGACAGAAGAGCAGACAGAAGAAAGAAAGAGAGATAGACAGTCAGAGAGACAGACAGACAGACTGATATAAAACCAGGCAGATCAGGCTGAAGTCGCAGAGTCGAAAAATGTTTCATAAACTCTGTCAACATATGCTGCTATAGCTAATATATATATAATGTATATAATCAGGCTCAGAGTCAGACTTAGAGTAATTTCTTACCGCTTTCATCGCCATTCGGTGAGCTTGGCGTTGTGGTTAGGCGTCGCGTTTGGAACTGGCGACGCAACGCATAGCTGGCCGCTTGGAATTTATGTTGCTTGAGCGCGTTGTCGGAGCTGGTGTTGATGTTGCTGATGGCGCTGCTTGTTGCTGGCAACAATGTTGCCAGCGGCAATGTTGCCGACGAACTTTTGAGCTTACTTAGATAGCTGTTGTTGTTGTTGTTGCTGTTGTTGTTTCTGCTTGTTGGTGGCGTCGTTGTAATTGCCGCGGCAGCTGCCGAGTCTGGCTTGCCGCGCAGTCGATTGTATTTAGAGGTCGTCGTCAATTCTGCAATTTGCGTGGTTGACTCAGACGCTGCCGTCGGCGTGTTGATTATTCGCCTGCGCACGCTCAGCACCGGACGACGCGAAACACTCGCAGCGGCTGCGCCGGCAGCATTGAAGCTTGGACTGAGCGTCGCTGACGCTGCTGCCGAGGCAGTCGCAGTCGGAGCCAGAGTCGGAGTCGATGTGGAAGGCACAGTTTGAGTGCGCAGCTGCCAGCGGAAAGAAGATCATCGAATGTTTGTGACGGGTTGATGAGGGGCACATGAAAAGAAGCGAGCAATTGCAATTGAATATTCTCGATTAATATGGCAAAATGTTAAGTTTGTTGAATTGAATCGATTCGATCATCGGCACTCTTCAATCATCTCACTTGCGTGTCAGTGCTTGTCGTGTTGTGTTTTGTGTTTTGTGCGTTCATAAATTTGTTTCTGTGATCTCAATATCAAGAAATCCGCGTTGTGCAGTCAACAGCAATCTAAAAAAGCAAGCTACATGCTCAACAATTAAACAGTTATTTATATATATATATATGTATATATGTACATGTGTATTTTGCTTATATATAATTATAATAATATAAGTACTTTTTCCTTTGCTGTGCAATAAAGTGTTAGGACTCTTGTGTTGCTCTCCCTCGCTCTCTATATGTGTGGGCGGGCAATTTGAATTGGATTATATTCTAGCTTAAGGCAGCAGCCAAGCCTTGACAAAACTGAGCTGTAAATATATTTCTGTTTTTTTTTAAGTAACTTCAGCCAAGGTGACCGAGTGCTGCTCATAAATATGGACAGGTGACACAGTTAAAAATGCAGTCAGGCATTTTAATTGAAGGACGTTTGAAAGATGCATGAATCACGCGTGCATTGTTTGCTGGCTGTTTGACATTGGCGGCAAATGTGAAAATAATCATGGAATGTAAGATGAACCCATGGGCCGGGCTGGCTACTTAAATGTCAATGTCGCTTGCCGCGCCCTAGAGATGCTTGCGCAACGCCTGAAGACGAGACAGCCGCAGCTAGGCCAGCTGGCTGGAGCTACTCATTTGGCAACGGCAACGGCAACGGCAACGGCGACTGCATGCCAATGTGATTGCATAAGAGCACGCTCAGCTCTTGGCTTGGTTGAAAGATGTGCGCTTTGCTTGCTTATGGCTCACAGCCTGCTAGCTTTAGCTTCTGCTGTTTGCTGAAATATTTGTTGACTGCATGCCAAACTGGTTATCTTCACTTGTGGACTGCGCAAGCGATCGCAGCTAGAAGCACCTCTTGGCTAGGGCGGCATCATCCGCAGACGAGAAAGTTGCTGCCAATGCAAATACATAAAAAAAGACAATCAATTTATCTGGCTCAAGCCAGGCTGCCAGTGAAAGCTGCTCAGTTGCCAAAGGGCATCGAAATGGGACCCCTCGACTTGAGCTGGCTGGCAAAGCCTTGTATACCGAAGGCAATGGCCCAGTTAGGGAAAGTCTGAGGATCACAGCTCTCAAATGTTGTTAGGAATTACAATTTTATCAAGCCAAAGATTAAGTAAGTAGAGCTCAGAGCTTAAGCGAAATATTTTAACTTTTTTTGTCTCAAATTATTTCAAACTGCAAACATCTAGAAAAAGGTAATTGAAATTGAAAGTTGACTACTTTTACGAGTGAACAATTGCAATGCAGGCGATGTGAGCGTCGTCTGCCTGGTCTTTAGTTGTGACTCCAGTAATTGGCTTTTCGAATGGGCTCGCAGGCTATCAAAATCTGTAAGCGAAGCGCTTGGCATGCGCAACAGCGTCTATGGCCTTTCAAACGAATAATTAACGGTGGTTTTTATGGGCCCAAAGCAAACCGTTTCGACAACCGGTTGCATCGCTCACTTGTTTTTTAACCGGTTCAACCGGGTATTTAGCAAACAATGCAAGCTCGGTTATGAGACGGAGACGAGCGATTACGATTGTCGTTAGACTCTTAATCGTTGTCTAAGTGAAAACATGGAAATTATGATCTATAATAATAACTGATGTATTTAAATATATATATATATAAATATATATATATATATATATATATGTGAAGAGGTTGAACTAGTTTTTGATATGTTGAAATATATTAAAGTCTGAATAGATATAGAATTGTTGAGCTATGAAGTGGCTCTTGAGGAGTTTTTGGCATTTGATGTTGCGAACTGGATTTCGATGTATCCAAATATGTAATATGTATATATATATATATACCTGAGATACAATTGGATATTTGAAATTACAAACTGCAAATTGGTTCTGTATATCTGAAGAGCAATTGGATTTTGCAGTCACGAGCTGGGTCTATGTATATATAAAGAACAATTGGATTTTGGAGTTGTGAACTGGTTCTATATATATCTAAAGAACAATTGGATTTGGAGTCACGAATTGGTTCGATATATATCTCAAGAGCTATGTATATATAAAGAACAATTGGATTTTGGAGTTGTGAACTGCTTCTATATATATCTAAAGAGCAATTCGATTTTGGAGCTATGAACTGGTGCTATATGTTCTATGTCTGAAGAGCATTTGGATTTTGGAGTCACGAACTGGTTCATATATATATGAAGAGTAATTGGATTTTAAAGTCACCAACTTTTTCTATATAAATCTCAAGAGCTACGAATTGGTTCTATATGTATCTGAAGAGCAATTGGATTTTGAAGCTCTGAACTGGTTCTATATATTCTGTAAGTTCTATACCTGATTTTTGGATTTTGGAGTTGTGAACTGGTTCTCTATATATCTTAAAGGCAAATGGCTTTATTCAAATATAGCTAAAGGGACCTGATTATAATGTGAATACATCTCTAGCTATAAATATTCCTTTAATTTTGAAAACTGTAACTGAAAGTGTAAGAAAATAAATAGAAGGGCAACATCTGGTGTTATAATATGATTTGTATATGTATATTGTTTATAGTATTTTGTATTTTGTATTTTGTATATTGTATTTTGTTTAGAGTTTTGCTCTATATACAAAAAAAAAGAAGAAACGATTTAAGATTTCTGTACAGAGTTGTTCAGTTTGAAGGCTGAATAACAAGACATATATATACATATATATATATATATAGATATGGATATAGATATATATAGTGTATGGTATTTGGGTATAGCTATGATCTACATATATAGTATGATGTTTTGGTTTTGCTTTTCATATATACAAAATAAGTATGTTTGTTTTTGGGTTTATTTAGGTTTATTGTGCATAAATATTTTACGACTAAAACTAAATGCAATAAACTTAAAATAATTCAAAAGAGAAAAAGTTATTATTTGGAATTCGGATTGTTCAAAGAGGAAAACAAATCAAAAAATAAAATAATAAAATGAAAATAAAATAAAATAGTTTTTTTTTTTATCAAAATCAGGAGACTTAAATAAAAAATTAAATAAAAAATTTAATTTGACAGCTTTTCTGCTGTGGGATCGTTAGAGTTTTCATTGAACCAATTGGGGAAAAGTCATTGCATTTCATTACTGCATGTGTGTGTGTGTGTGTGAGCGTGTGTGTGTGTAAGTAGATGTGTGGGCGTGTGTATGTATGTATATTATTGTTATTTCTTAAATGGCAGCTTGAAGAATACAAAGTTTAATAGCGTTCAAAAAGCAGCAAATTCTTGTTGTTGTTGTTGTTGGAAAATGAATGGAAAAACACTTTTTCTTTTTTGATTTTGTTATTGCAAGATTAGCAAAAAATCAGCTAAATTTAAAGGACAGAGTTACGCAGCCGAATATTTACAGGGCGACAGTGTGTGAAGCTTAATGCGTTCGTCTCTCTCTCTGTACAAAAATAAGACTAGAAATAACTACGTTTTGTTTGTGTGTTGCACCAGACTTAGGGCGCCAATGTGGTAGTGGCTGTTGTTGTTGTTGTTGTTGCTGTTGTTGTTGTTGTTGTTGCATTGTGACGTTGACGCAGTCGCCGGCCACGCCCACGACGCGACTTCTTGCGACGCACCACATGCGTTTCGGTGCTGTAGCTGATCTTTTCGCTAATGCTGCTACTATTGGTAAGTGTTGTTGCTGTATGAATGTTGTTCATGTTGTTCATGTTGTTGTTGCTGCTGTTGTTGTTGTTGTTGATGTTGTTGTTGTTGTTGTTATCAATGCCACTAATAGCGCCATTTGTGTCTAGTGTATAGTTTGTCGTTTGTTTGTGTAGGTCCGTTAGCCGATTATCGATCGGCGCCTGCAACACGGACGCATGCCGCACAGAAAACGCTGAATTCGAATCGGAGGGAATGTCGGTGGCATGCTCGGCGCTGCTGGTTGGCGGCAACAGGGTGCTGCTGCTGCTGTCGTCGATGCCGTTCGCAGCTGCTGCACTGGCATCTGACTCGCCCTCCGGCGCTTGCACCTTGCTTAAGATGACCTTGTCGAGATTGGCTATCGAGATGATTAGGGGTGAGGATTCATTGGATTCGGGACGAAGTAGGGGTACAATGGGTCTTACGTATGTGAGGGTTGGCAATGCCGGCGCCACAGTTGGCAGCTCGGTGCTGTTAATCGTATCCAGTTCGACGTCCAGCTGATTCTCAGTGTTGCTCTCCTGGCCGATGCTATTGAAGCTCAGCTGCTTGGCCTTACGCTCCGAGTCAAATAGTCCTTCGAGCGATATGGTCGACGTTTCGAAGGCACCGCGTATGACCTCCGGCAGCAGCGACTTGCCATTGCGCTCCGGCTCGCTGTCGCCCTCGCTCTGCGGCAGGCTGTTGCGCACTGGCGCCGAGCTCTTGGCCACGCTGGGCTCCGTGGGCGTGTAATCCGCAACGGTGCTGTGGCCGTCGTTTATCTGGATATCGCTGCCGTCCACCAAATGCACGTATTTCACCACACTTATCTCACCTAGCTGCTCGACGTGGGGCAGCGACTCGACGCGCAGCGTGCCGAAGTCTTGATTGGCCTTGGACTTGCGCTGGGCGGCCTTGGCCTGCTTCGAGTTAATCTCTACAATGCGATTGATTTCGATGAGCTTGTGCTTGGGCTCCACAGCGGTGGTCTTACTACCCAATGGCCGCCCGGTGGGCTCCTGCTCCTCCTCGGCCTCGCCCTCGACCAGGGTAAAGACATGCAGCAGCGTCGTCGCTGGCGGTGGCGACTGCGTTGTCAACGACAACGTGCCCGTCTCTTTGTCCTGTGGGAGTGAAGAGATGTTTGTGGCTTCATTAGCATGCATTGGAACATGGGACACGATTTGTGTCTGTTCGTTTTCATTTTCGTTTTCGTTTGCGGTTTCAGTGTTTGTGGTGTCTGTTGACTGTGTTGATGTTGGATTTGTTGTTGGTGTGGTTGGTGTGGTAGTCACATAGCCCTGATACTGTTGCTGCTGCTCGTCGTCCTCTTCCCTCTCTAGAGCACTTTCAGTTTCACTTTCTAGGTCTGCCTCAGCCTTAGCGGCCGCTTTGGGCTTAAGGGTCGTATGCTTCTTGCTGTTTATGTCGAAGATCTTCTTGTTGCGTGCATTGAGCGCATCGATATTCAAGTCCTCGATCAACGAGTTCTCGCTGGCAACTTCCGGTGCCTCCGTGGAGGGACCCGTGTACTTGCGCTCGTAGCTACGATTGCTGCTGGGTATGAAAGGCGCTGGCTTGATGGGGGTTAGCGGAGTGGTGCGCTCATAGTTCTTGGCCACAGGACGCAGCGTTAAGTTGGGTGTCGCCACGCCGGAAGGACGGTTTATCACTCGCGGGCGATTGCTGCCGCCGAAACGATTGCCAGGTGCCGAGGGGGTACTTTGGCTGGAATTGGGCTGGCGGTTGCGCGGATTGAAAGGCACATTGCCACTACTGGGACTCGCACCACTGGCGGTTGGCGAGAAGCTCGGTCGACTACCGGGCAGTACGCGATTGTCCTTGGCTCGATAGGCGGGAGTTGGCGGCTTGCTCGTGCTGTCGCCTGGCTGTGGCTCCTGGCCGGAAGCCGTTTGATTGGCATTCTGCTCATCGTCTTGCTCGTTGTCCTCGTCATCGTCATCGTCGTCATCGTCGTCGTCATCGTCATCGGCATCATCGTTGTCTTCATATTCTTCCTCGCTCTTATCACTGTTTGCCTCTGTCTTAGGTTGTTTATTTTTGGGAGCGAAAGGTCTTCTCACCGCCGCCTGACTGCCCAGCAGGCTAGTCTTAATGAGTACCGGTGGATGTTCCTGCTGCTTCTCGTATTCCACGTCGTCAGCTTCGTCGTTGTTGCCTTCTTCTTCGGTGTCTTGCTGCTTGAAGCGATCGGTGCCCGGTAGTCGCGCTCCTCTAGGATCGTTGCGCACAAAGCCCTCGCCCTTGTTACGCACGTTCGAGTTGAAGGGATCGAAGCGTCCGTTCTTACGACGCACAAACTTGGGTGTGGGCCGTGTGCTGTTCAGGTTTAGAGGGGCTTTGGTTGGCGTATTGCTAGCTGGCGGCACATAGGGTCGCTTGGCCACCAGTTTACGTCGGAAAGCCGGACGTAAAGTGGATTTGGCCGTTGAGCTGGGAATCTTCTCAGCATCATCAATGATGGCATTGCTGCTGCTGCTGCTGTTGCTGGCAGTGGCCTTCTCGACCAACAGTTTCTTTAGCTTATCATTTATAACACCCTGCTCCCCACTGCCACGTGCTTGCTCGGCCTTGACCTTATCGCGCAGCTGCTGCAATGCTGAGCTGCCTTCACCGTCATTCTCCTCTTCGCTACCCTGCAGCTTACTGCTGAGCACCCCATCGGCCGGCTCACCTCGGGACTGTTGGCTCTTGAGTCGGTTGCGCAACCGCTGCAAGTCGAAGGGTTGTCGCTCTGCTGGCGCCGTTACTTTCTGTTCGTCCTTATTATCTTCGTCCTCATCGTTGTGCGACTCACCGCCGAAGCGGGAGCGGCTGGGTAGGAACGGCTTGCGTGTGGTCGTAGTGGTTTCCCCCACAACTCCAGATGGCTCCCCGTTGCCCAGCTTAGTTGACTCGGTGCTTACCGCAACTGGCCTAAGCTTGCGCACAATTTTCCGGAAACGTTTCGTCGTGTTGTTTGCTAATGTAATTGTGTTTGTGTTGTTCTCAGTGTATGTGGTATTGGCGCTATTAGTGGTGCTGGTGTTGGTGGTGGCTGTACTATTGCTACTATCAATAGACTTAAGCGGTCGTCGATATTTAAGTACTCGTATGCGTTTCAATGTGGGCTTAGTGCTCGGCGTCGCTGCTGTTGTCACTGTTGGAGCAACAGTTGTCGTCTCTGTGGCATCAGCTTCTTCATCATCATCATCATCATCATCATCATCATGTGATGAATCGTCATCGACTATAGATAATTTAGTTACCTGAACGCGGCTGCGTGAGCCAAAGGACAAACGTCGTGTATTTGCTGTTGCCGCTGTCGTTGAGGCTGTTGCTCTGGGTGTCGTTGTGGTCGTGGTGCCTCTAGTGCGGCTCACTTGATATCGATTCTGAAAACGTCGTTTAGAATTAACGTCATTACCTAGGTCATTTAAAACACGCTCTGGTGCCCCATTCTCATTATCATTATCATTCTTATCCGTCTCCTCAATATCAATAACTGCATCTAGTCTATCATCATCTTCAGTTTCATCGTTATTATTATTAGCTTTACCGACTGTGACTTGTTGAGTTTGTTTGTTGTTTGTGTAAATGTTTTTGCTGTAGGTGCTGTTGTTGTTGTTGTTTTTGTTGTTGTTAGAATTAGAAAACTTAAAACGATTATTTATATAGTTTGCTACGGTGCTATTACCACGTGTTGTGCCAAAAACTTGACTAGCTACTTTAGGTGAGGTGCTCTGATTAGTATTTGTATTGTTGCTTATGTTAGATTTGGATACCTCTACCTCATCGTCCTCATCTTCGTCGTCGTCGTCGTTATCGTCGTCGTCATCTTCATTGTCCTCATCGTCGTCGTCATTGTTTTTGTCTCTAGTCTGGGTCGGGTTAAGTATCTTTGTCAGAGTTTCAGTCTTAGAGGTTTCTGTGCGCTGTCTGCTGGCAAGTAACTGGCTTAGAATAGAGCGGGGAGTTGTGCTGCTGGCAACGGCATCCTGTTGATCATCGGCTTCTTCCTCGTGCTCTTCCTCTTCATCGTATTCATCATTTTCCTGATCTTCCTCGGCACGATTATATAGATTTCTATTGAAGGACACAATATTACGTCGTGTTGTCGAGCTGGGTGCAGTTGGCCGCGTTGTAGTTGGACGTGCTTTGAAGCCGATTCGCGTTCGACTGTCCTGCTGTCCGCTGCTGGTGCTGGGAACCTGGTTTAAGCGAGAGCCGAGTAAGGCTCGATGTCGGTTTGTCTGCAGGAAACCACCGCGTGCTGGTGGGCTATTGGCATCGCCATCGGCATCATCAGTGTCTGCCTCAATTTCGGCATCGCTCACCGATTCGGTGGTCGTCGTCGTTTCTCTGTTGATTCCAAAGCGACTACGTGTCCTGCTCAAGGTCGAGTACGGGCGACGCGTGGTAATGTCTTTAGTTGCTTCCCTTTCTGATGCCTGAGTTGATGTTTCCTGCTTTATATACTGACGTATAGTTGTGGGTTGATTCCTGTTGATTCTCGGCGCGGGTGTTGTCAGCTTGATATCATCTGAATTACTTTCTATTTCTAAGCTATCCTCATCCTTAGTATTTCTTTGAGCTGAAGTTATTGTTGCATTGTATCGACGGCGCACAAAGCTCTGCGGTCGTTGTCTTGATCGCTCGGTTTTAACTGTTGTGGATTCGTCACTAATTGCCTCCCTATCCACACTCGTTTCTGTTGTGCTTGCGGTTGCATTAAAACGACGGCGTATTAGAAGACTGCGCCTGGATGTGGTTGTTTCTATGGCTGCACTGTTAGTCTCGCCATCTGCTGAGCTACTTTTGGCAACGGAGCTATCGTCTTCTTCGTTGACTTCCGTTGTTGAATTGTTGCGACGGCGTATTATAAGCCGACGACGTGGGCTATTGCTGCTGTTGTCTTCAGCAGTTGGAGCTTTGTAATAGGTTCCTTTGCCTGTTTTCTCAACGTCCTTCGCGACTTCGCTGTCTACCACATTATTTGTTGCTGTCGAGTTCGATTTGGTTCCAATGATACGTTTGCGTATTAAGATTTTCCGTTTAGGTGTGGGCGGCTCGGCCGTCGTGTCTGTGTCTGGGCTGCTGGTGGCATCTTTGTTGGAGTCAAGACTTCCGACCTCCTGACTGTTTTCCGATGTTTGCTTTGCACTATTGACTGTGTCTGTTGTGCGAATTGTGGTCGCTGCTGCTTGACTGGCAACAGTTGTGATGCTCTCATCGTTCCCAAGTTCATTTTCATCATCCAATTCTGCTTCAAGCTCATCGATGTCTTCACTTTCACTAGGGTTTTCCGTCGATGTCGTTGAAGGCTGCACTCTATTTAAGTTGACATAAGTGCGACGGGTGCTACTATCTGAGTTTTCTGTTACCTCCTTTCGCAGAGCGTTGAGGGAGGTGGAGGCTGTTGCATTAAAACGACGCGTTTTTAAAAGCTGCCTGCGAAGTGTTGCATCCTCACTTAACGCAGTCGTGCCACTGATATCCGCATCATCGACTTCCTCATTTTCATCACTCAACTCAGCTTGAAGCTCATCGACTTCTGCCGTGTTTAATCTTTGATTCAACCTCACTCTTTGGCGAGTTGCTGTCGACTGAACTCTATTCAAGCTCGTATAAGTGCGACGAGTGGTGCTGTCTGAGTTTTCAGTGGCTGTTGAATTGTTTTCTCTATCTCGGAAACGCGGCGAGAATCTTGAGCTTGTGGCAGTTGCATTGAAACGACGAGGCTTTAAAACTTGACTACGGATGGAATTCTGATCACTAGGATTGTCCTCATTATCGACATTTTCATTGTCTTCTCCCAATTCCGCTTGCAGTTCATTGTCATCGTCGTCGCTTGAAGCTTCTGAATCCGTTGCGCTGCTTACTGAGCTTTCCGTAGTTGTTCTCTGACTGATTTTAAATCTGGAACGAGTTGTTGAAGTTGCTGTCGACTGAACTCGATTAAGGTTCGTGTAGCTCCGACGCGTGCTGCTCTCTGTGCTTTCAGTGGCTGCTGTATTGCTTTCACCCTGAGCGATTCTTAAGCGCGTATTTGTTGCATTAAAGCGACGAGTCTTCAAAAGCTGTATGCGGTTCCTGTTATCCCTTCCGATTGTAGTCGCCTTAGTGCGATTGTCATCCTCATCAACGACAGTTTCACTCTCATTTTCCACTTCTGCTTGAAGCTCATCGTTTTCTTCACTTTCGACAGGGCTTTCCGTTGTAACTCTCTGATTGATTCTAAATCTGGGACGAGTTGTGGGCTTAGCCGTCGAAGTGGCTGTTGACTGGGCTCTATTAAAGTTCGTATAACTCCGCCGCGTGCTGCTCTCTGAGCTTTCAGTGGCTTTTGCGTTGTTCTCCAGCTGAGAGATTCTTAAGCTCGCATTGTAACGTCGCGCTGTCAAAAGTGTGCTACGGCTGCCATTATCCGTTCCGGTTTTAGTTTCGTCCTCATCTTCAGCTACTTCATTTTCATCAGCCAATTCCGCTTGCAGTTCATCGTGGTCATCGCTTGTCCCTGGAGCGCTACTTGGACGGGATGTCGTCTGTTTTGTTGTTGAAAAAAGTCTATTTAAGCTGGCGTTAACACGACGCGTGTTGTTGTCCGGTGTTACAGTCGTTGTCGTCCTGTTTCCTGTGCCTCGATAGCGTTGCGTAGCCTTCGTGACTGTCTCTAGATCGTCTTCAGCGTCATCTCCATCGTCTGAATCCGCATTAGTTGTCAGCGCTGGTCGCCTTGAGTTTATTCGAGTGCGATTTGTATGTAAGTCCTTGACTTCTTCCAGTATGGAGACCTTAACAATGCGCGAGGTTTCATTGTTCCTTGTCGTTGCCAGCTTTGTTTTGAAAGTTTTGCCTTGTCGATATGCAGTTTGCGCCAAGCTGTCTAGCTCGTCCGCGTCAGCAGCCAGCGCTTTAGTAGCTGTGTCTAACTGCAGCTTTGTGGCTTGCCTGCTCTCACCATTTGTCTTCTCAGACTGCTCAATCAAGTTGGCCCCCGGGTGACCTACACTGACCCGGGGGTACTCAATAAAAAATGACTCAGTTCAGAATTGATTTCTTGCGCCTGCTCCATAGCCCTGCGATGATCCTCGTTGGCCGCATCGTCCTCATCCACCTCCGCCTCCAACGAATTGTCTGGCGTGCCATTATCGCTAACATTGAAGACATCGTGTATCTGTTGCTGTATGTCTACGGTGACGCCGCCACCAGTCGCTGGCGCTGGCGTCTTGTCAATGTAGGTTATCGGCGAGTCCTTCACGTATTGATAGTATTTGCGACGATGATATATTGGCAGTGAGAGCTGATCGTCATGGCTGATTTCCTGGCTGACTTCAGCAATTGGCGTTGTCTCCACTGCAGCGCTTTTCTGGTCATTCTCATGCAGATTGTTCAATGCCTTCACAAAGTTCTTTTGCAGATCCTTTATGTTGTCTGTGGTTGCAGGCTTAGCTGTCGTTGTTGTGCTTGCTGAGGAGCTGCTTGTCGTGGTTGTCTCCTCTGGTATTTCGGCTGTCGATTCAGTTGTTGTTATGGGTCGCTTGAAGGTCAGCACACGTTTGGTTACCGTCGCTGGTTGAGGTTGCTTAGTGGTTGTTGTCGTTGTGCTTGGTGTTGTTGTGGTTGTCGTTGTCGTTGTCGTTGCTTTCGAAAGTGGTCGACGAAAGACTGTGCGACGTGTGGTTGCTTCATCGTCCACCACGTCGGACGTTGGCAGTGTTGTTGCAGCTGTCGTAGAGGTCCTCACTGTGCTTGTTGTCCTTCTGATTGGCCTTGTTGGTCTAGTGCGTAGGCGAGGGGTAGTCGCTTTAGCTTGGCTTCTGGTTGTGGTTTCAACGTCCGCACCGTCTAAGTCATTATCGTTTTCGTAAATAAATTCTTTGACCTCTTCGCGCTCTATAGTCTCCTTGGGCTTCTTCAGCAGACGTCTGCGCGTCTTGGTCACAGTCGATGGCTGTTGCTTGGAGCGCTGTCCTTTGGTGGCAAAGTCCAGGGCCAGCAATGAGGACAGATCGTTGCTGCGGAACTTCAGTGAGCCACGATTCCGCGTAACGGTTCGTGGCGTTGTAGTGGCCGCCGGCTCATGAACCTCATCATATATATACTCATACTCTGCCGGCTTCTCTTCCACAATTTTGGTATGAACACGCTTAACGATCTTGTTGGCATCGAGTGTACGTACGTAAGTCGTACGAGTGCGTGTGATTCCATTGCCCAAAGATTCTGTCTGGCTGGTTGTGCGATTGCGAATTACCCCATGGGACGAGCGACTGTTTAGCTTTAAGCGCCTCGCCTCTCCATCATCGGACTTCACTTCGTGTGCAGCGTTAACATCTGCAGTATTTGAAGCTACAGATGAGTTGTTAGCACTCTCTGCCGATAGCTGTCTATTGAGAGACTCCTGAGTTGCCTCCTGGTGGTTGTATTTGACGCGCTTGCTTGCATCAGCGGCCAGCAAAGATGAGAGATCGCCCTCCTTGCGCGGTCGGTACTTGCCTCTGACAACGACACGTCGTTTTGGCAGCGGTGTGCTGCTGCCACTTGCAACATCGGCATCCTGAGCTGTCTCCGTGCTCTCTGTGCTGCTCGTAATTGCTTTCTTAGCGTTGCTATCGGCACGAGAGAAAAATCGTCTAGTGTTCGCTCGCGCTGTCTCTGTGTTGCTTGTCTGTTGGGAAAGACGTGAGTGTTGAGCAGCTGATGCCTCACTCGATGTCTCGTTGGATAGGTTTTGGCCAGCTAATGACGTATTAGACGAATCATTAGATTCTCTAGTCTCTGCACCAATTGTCTTCTGGGAGAGATTTGAGTGTTGATCAGCTGATTTGGTATTGCCTGTTCTGTGTGAGAAACGTGAGTGTTGAGCAACTTGTGCCTCACTCGCTGTCTCCTTGGACGCATCATTCGATGCTCTTGACTCTGTTTCGATTGTCTTTTGGGAGAGACTTGAGTGCTGATCCGCTGAAGTAATACTCGACGTATCGTTTGAAGTTCTTGATCTTGTTATATTTGTTCTATGTGAGAAGCGTGAGTGTTGGTAAGCTAATGTAGTGGATGTGTCGTTTGAGCTCGTAGTTGCAGTCTGCTCAGCTTGGATCAGTTTGCCATCAATTGATTCCATATCCGATTCGCTGTTAGTCACCTGAGGCTCTGCAGTAGTCGTAGCTGTCGAGGCTTGAGAAGTTTCTGGCTGTTCAGTTGTTGAGCTGGTGCTAATATCATTGACTGCTGGTATTATAGTAGTTTCCTCAACATCGTCGGAGCTTGGACTAAGGGTAGAGCTGACTTCAGTGTCAGCATCAACAGCAGTTGTGAGAGTACTTTGCCTCGCAGCTGCTACGTCCTTGGTCAAAAGGCTTTTAATATGCTCATTGGCTAACTCCCTGGAGTCCAGCTCAGATGCTGTGTTGCTGTCGTCCGAGCTGCCGGTAGAAGCGGGCGCAATGGTCTTGCCACGTGGCTCGTCGTCAATTATCTCAGCTGCAATATTCTCGTCCTCAATGGTTGTCTCCACAATGAGGCCTCCCCGACGTACGGGCAGATTGATTTTTTGCCGCTCAGCTTCATCCAGATTACGCATAAAACTAGAGCTCTGACCTTCGGTCAAGTGGGCACCGCTGGTGTCGCGCACTATGGAAGCGTAGTGAATCTGTTCGTTGGCATGGCCACGACTGGAATTACGGCTGATGCTTTGGTAGTTACGCTTGCCAGCTGCGACTGATCCTGTAGCTAGGCTCCCATCTAGGCTTACCTCCTTAGCGGTAATTGATTCAGAACCACTGCCATCCGCTTGACTGGCCGTAAGAATTTGACTATCGCTCGCAAAGGCTTTGGTGTTGCCTGCGAGATTTGCATTCGCAGCGACGCGACTCGACGTGCGAGTGATGCCTTGATAGCTGCGTCTGCTTGATTTAATTTCCGTTGTCCTCTCTGTTGACTCGATCTGTTCCTCCTTCGACTCGTTTTCCTGCTCAGTATCGTTGATTGCCAGACGCTTGCCAGCATACCTACGCGAAAACTTGTCATTGCTGTCGAGCGCGTTAGCCAGCTTGGCCGTACCTGTGGAAGCTCGCGAGTTGCTGTTGACTCTGCGCCAAATGTACTTGACTTCCTTTGTGTTTGTTTGATCGTCATCTGTGGTACTTAAACTAGAGGAGCTAACTACGTCATGCCTTAAGTTATTGCCACCATTACCAGCTAGGTCTACGTCTACGTCTACTACATTGGTTGTTGTGTTAGATTGGGTTGTTGTTGTTGTTGTGGTTGTTGTTGGCGGGGTGCTTGTGCTGGTGTCCAACAACTCTTGACTATTATTGTCACTCACCTTGGGCCTATCCACAGTGGACAGACGCGTTTTGCCTATGCTCGCAACATCATCAATTTGTGTCTTGTTTTCGCTATCGCTATCGTTATCGTTATCGTTATTATTAACAGTGCTGTTTGTTGTTATGGTTACGGATTGTGGTTTAGTGGGACGTGTGCGACGTCTGGGATAACCAAAGGGTCTTGGACTAGATATGCCACCCAGCGAGTCGGTGTTAGTTGGGCTCAAAGGTAGTTCGGTTGTGTTCTGTTCAGGTTGTTTGGTTGTTTTTCTTTGTGGTTGTTGTTGCCTTCTACCTGAGTAGGTGTTTCTAATGATATTTACACTAGGATCGACTCTACTCAAACCAGGAGAGTTACCAACATTGAGACTAGCATCGTTGACTGTTGCTGTTGCTGTTGCTGCTGCTGCATTGTTTCTGTTACGGTTGTTGTTGTTGTTGTTGTTGTTGCTTGTGTTTATGCGTCTGCGACTGGCTGTGTACTTAGATTGTGTCTTAGTTGCTGTTGTGGTTGTTGTTACCTCGTTATCAAGATTGTTTATCTGATTGTCGTTGTCGTTGTCGTTGTCCCTGTCGCCGTCGTCGTCGTCTTTGTCGTTGTTGTTGACTGTCTTGAGCAGTTCAGGCTGCGTCGTTGTTGCAGTTGCCGTTGTCGTCGGTGCCGCAGCTTCTGTTAATTTGTTAGTCTTGAAGTCAAGGGCTGGGCTCTGCTCGTCCTCGCTTGGGTCATTGGCTGGCGGCAAAGTGCTCAATGGCAGCTCTAACATATCGTTAATGCCTTCAGCCAAGCTCAAGGAGTCGATGCTGTTGGTGGTTGGTACTTGGATAGTGGATGCTACAGTAGGCGTGGGTGTGGTTGTGGTTGTGGTTGTGGGTGTGGGTGTGGGTGTGGGTGTGGGCGAGTGGGTGTTGGTGGTACTAGTAGTTTGGATATTAGTAGTGATGGTGCTCTCAATTGGTTCAGTGGTTTCGTTAATGATAGTGGCTGTTGTAGTGGTTATATCTGGTTGGGTGCTGAGTGGTGCTGGTGTGGTTCCGGCTACGTTGTTAATTTTCACAGTGTTGCTGCTGTTGTTGTTGTTGTTGATAGTGCTGGCCTTGGCTGTCTCAGCGCCGCTGACACTTGTTGTTGTTGTTGTTTCTGGTGTTGTTGTGACTGTTGTTGTTGTTGTTGTGGTTGTTGTTGTGGTTCTGCGGCCAATGCTCGCGTATTTACGTGTATTTGTTGTTGCTGTGTTGTTGCTTTTATTTCTTGGTACCGTTACATTTTTCTGTTGTGGCTCATCCTCGTACTCGTCCTCATCTTCCTCGGCATCGTGTTCACTTGCATCGATCCCGACAGTGACATCGGCGCTGCTCTTTGTGGGTCGCGTGCGTTCCAAATATTTGTAGCTAAGCAGATAAGAGTAAAAGAGCGAGTTGTTAGTGTTTGCTAGTCGACGTCGATGTCGATGTTCAGTGTGTTCAGTTACCGATTGGTTATCGAGCTAACTTCTGGCTCTGAGGCTGTGCTTTGGGGACGTTCTGTGGTGCGTCCACGGTTGCGGCTGAGGGTGGCATATTGCTTTGTCTGCGTCTGTTCCCGGCTGGCGAACGTCTGCTCCAGCTCTGTCACCGACTCGACAGGCGTTGCCGATGTTGTTGTGGTGGGCCGGGAGCGTCGCAAGCTGGTGTAGGATGGCGTGGCAGAGCTGATCGGACGCCTGGTTGTATGGAATCGTTCGTCTTCTTCTTCCTCGCTTGCTTCGGTCTCGTCTCTCGAGGAGACTTCGCCTTCTTCGTCATCGCGCGTGGCAACCCGATTGCGATTTATGGTCACGTACTGCTTACGTTCCTTGAGGAAGCCATCGAATTCGGCTAGCTTTTCCAGGCCCTCGTTCTGTGGCCCCTGCCGGCTGTTGCCGCGCAGCACCGAAGAGTATTTGGAATTGCCGACTTGCGAGCTGCTGTCCTCGGCCACCGTAGTTTCGGTCGACTGTACCTTCACAGCATTGAAGCGATTGCGTGAAAATGTGCCCAATGTCTCTGGGCGATTGAGGACACGATCATACAGTGACTTGCTGATGGTCGAGGGTGTTGTGGGTGCGCCGCTAGAAAAGTTCTCTTTGAGCGTTATGGAGCCATCCTTGTTGCGCAGCAAGTGCTTCTCCAGCTGCTCGATGCCGCCAACCTTGCGAATAAGATCGATTAGCTCTTTGATGACCTGGGGATCCTCTTCAGCATCGCTGGACTTGCTCGATGTTTGGGCATTATCGACTTCCTCTTCGTACTCGAGCTCCTCTTCCACTGGCGATGCGGTTGTGGTTGTGGTTGTTGTCGTGCTGCTGGTGCTAGTGACGCGTGGGTAGACAGGTCGAGCAACTGGCGCTGCCGTAACCCGATTGTAGCTACTGGTTGCTCGTTGCGTTGTTGTTGTCGTGCTGGTCGTCGATGTCACTGGCGCAGCAGTTGTCGATCTATGTTTGGACAGGGAATACCGTGAGTAGGGAGTCGCTTCGAGTCGCGGCTAGCAGCTACTTACTTCTTAGTCTTGCATGGCACATTACGCGCGAAATCGCACGAATCGGCCGCGGGATTGAAGTAAAGTCCGGATGGACATGTAAACTGATGAGCTACAATGCCCAGGCCAGACGGACCGCTGTCTAAGCACCAGTAGTACTTCTTGCAGTCGCGCGGGTGCTGGAAGAAGCCCTCCTCCTCGCACTTGAAGTCCGAGCCGGGATCCGGCGTTGTCGGCGGCGCTGGCGTCGTCAAGCCCCTGCCGCCAATGTACAGCGACGATCCTTTGGGCTCGGTCAGCTTAAAAGTGGTCGTAGCCGGCGTTGTCGTTGTGCTGCCCCTACTGGCAGGTCGTCTAGTCGCACTGGAGCCACGAGTGCTTGCCTCTGATTCGGAGCTCAGATGTTTTCTGCTGCCGCTGATGCCATTCTCGCGACTTCTCGAACGCAACGGCTTTTGGGGGCCAACGGATTTAGCGACTTCATTGATGCCCAGTCTGTGGATAGTTGAAGCAACAAATGTGTCATGTGTGAGCAGAGTCTGTGGCGGCTGTGGATATTTACCCATATGCCTCAAACATGGCCTCCTTGGCAGCCTCAATTAGGGGATATGGCTTGCCGCTGCATGTGCCACGGAAATCATCGTTGTCTATGGCCCAGAACATAATGCCGCCCAAGCCATGGGCCACTACGTACTCGGCCTTCTTGCGCACTATGGCCTCGTCGTCATAGCCGACCCATTGATTGCGTCTATAGGCATATGGGCCCATGACATTGGCATTTGGCTGCACCACAGTCCATTCGGAGTCTTCCTTAAGTGCCTGACAAATCTATATTGCAAGAGTCAGTTAGTACATGTTGGCCAGCAGAGAAAATATGCCGCTGCTCTACCTCATAGTAGGCCAAATAGCCCTTTTCTCTTGTCGCATCACCCTGTTCGCCTGGTCCCTCGGAGGGGGCGCCGAGCTCAGTGCTCTCCTCGTTGATCAGCGTGTACGAACGTCCGTACGTGGGTATGCCCAGGACCAGCTTGTCGCGATCGGCGCCAGCCTTTAGGTAATATTTGATGGAGTAGTCCTGATGGGCAAAAGAAATGAATGAATTTATGTTTAGCAATTGTTGGTGGTGCTCTCAAGCACTTACAATGTTCAACTCAGCATCATAGTTGTATTCGGAGTCATCTTCCAGGGAGTAGAGTGGCGCATGATGATTGACCGACGGCTCATGCGAGGAATGGAAGTCGTAGGTGAGCACATTAAACCAATCCAGATACTTGTTTAGCTTCGGCACATCGTAGCCCTTGTCAATGTACTCAATGCCGGCTGGCACGGCCATGGTGAGCAGCAGCCTGGAGCGGCCTGTCTTCTCCGCTTCGCGTTCGAACTCGGCCCTCAGTTCCTGCACGAATTGCGCATAGTTATCACGATCGCGCGACTTGCCGCCTTCACGATGGGCCGGGTATTCCCAATCCAAGTCGATGCCATCGAAATGATTCTGGCGCAAGAACTTCAGGATGTTCTTGATAAACTGCTGGCGCCGATCGGCACTAGCCACCAGAGGGGAGAAGCGTGATGAGGCCTCGTTCCAGCCGCCAATGGCAATCATCGTCTTCAGCTGCTTGTTGTAGGTTTTCAGCCCGGTAAATTTGGCATAGCCGCCTACGGAAGTTGCGAAGTTACGGGCAGCAACGGCAGCCGGGGTGGGAGTAGGGCGGAAATTGAAGTCGAGTTGAAATGAAATTCAATTTATTATGCAGTGGTATGTGTCTGTGTGGGTGTGTGTGTGTGTGTGGGTGTGTTTGTGGGCGTGTCTGGCTTACCCTGCTCTATATCCTGATACTTGTCAAACGGCTTCATTTGATTATCCTTGGTAAATCCACCGAATGCGTACACCAAATGTGTACACAAATATGGATTTATGTTTTGGGGATTGAATTTAGCAGTGCCCGGTCGATAGACACTCCAGTTCGTGTAGTAACACACCACTCGGCCCTCGCCACTCGCCACTGCAATGACAGAAAATCGCATATCAAATCAATCAGGACAAAGCAATCGCTTGACAAACTTACCATTCATGCAGTAGGCCAGTGCGCAGAGGAGCAAGAGGGTTTGCCAGGCCGCTCCAGGCCGGAACTGTAAGCGAAACAATATAAATAAAAGCTCCAAGCATTAGCAACGCAGACTTAAATAATCATATTTTAGCATTGACACAGTGACATCGATGTCACTTGGCTTATGATGCGGACGTCGGAGACAAGACCCGGTGACAAAAAGATATCAAAGCAATTCAGGCATGTCAAATTCCCATGAAGGTCGACCCCAACACCACCATCTATCAAAACGCGTTACACAACCTTATGACTTTTATATGCAAATTTCATTTAATGAAATACAGCAGCAGGCGAGCTTTATGTTGGCTTTTTGTTGCTTTCTTGCTGTAGGTTTTCATCTTTCCTATCTTTTTTTTTCAATTCGCTGGGAAGTCACTGCGCTGTCGCTTGGGGCGCTTCCAATGAGGAAGCAGCGCCAGCTTGCGCTCGGGTGCCAATAATTCAACTCGTTGTTTCACTTCATTGCGTAAGTTGCTTTACAGCAATTAGGGCAAAGGTATAAATGGAGATCGAAGTCTGTCATTCAACCATTTGGCTAAGGCTAATTGCGTTTAAAATTCATTTCAGCAGGACTCCAGCTATGCTTGAGGCCAGGTGCTAGCCCAACTGAAGCTGAACAGGTGCAAGTATTACGCACCTGACATTCTTTGGTCCGCATTCAACAATATAAATACCGAAATGCCAAAGTTTGGTAACATCATAAAAGCAACAAAGCCCACAAACAATCATAGCTTACACTACAGATATGTGTTATATACCTTACGGACTGACTACCTTACATACGCTACGAATTTTGGTCAGCAGCGCCCAATAAGCATCTGCGCGACAGCAAGATACCCTGTAACTAGCTTGCAGTTGTTGAAACTTTCACTTTTACGCTGCTTTAATTAAAGCGAAATTAATCATCTCGTTCTGTGTGTGTGTGGCGGATAAAGCTTGGCAGTAAGCGAAAGAAACTGTTCTAGATTACTCCAGAATCTATGCAGAGACTTAGCACAGTTTCAATATTTATATTCGTAGAATCAAAGCAGATGCAGATCAGAAAATTAGCTCTTTTTTATTTATGGTATTCATATAATATGTTTTACTGGTGAGCAGACTATTCTTCTTCTTCTTAAGCTCATTCGCCCACTAATATGCCTTCAAACACAGGGTATAATTATATAAGAAAGCCAAGACGGCAACAAATAGCGGCTGCCTGTGCATGGAATGTGCGTGTATGCGAGTCATGCCGGTTTTTATATTACACACACGCACACTCAGTCATTCATTGATCGAAGCCAAAGTTAATTTTACACACTCAAAAATATATTAAAAAAAAACTTGAAAGATTTGTATTTGAGTGAAAAGCGGTAAAAACGCCAAGTGGGGATCACCATCATCTGCAATAATTTGATGTTGTCTTTGGCTAATTAGCACAGCTGCACACACATATGTCTGTGTGTGTGTGTGTTTGTGTGTGTATATATGGTTCACAGCATTGTCATGTATGTTTTCTATTTATAAATTTGAAGCTGAAGGAAATAGCAGGAAGCTAACTTTTTCTTTTATGAGCTGATTGTATAAGCAGCGGCCAAAGTAACTCATTTTCAGCTGAATTTTATGATCTGTGTAAAAAGCGCCCAAAATGAAAGCCAAAGACTCAAAATCAATTTTCAATTACATTTATCGAAAGCTCTTTACTGTTAGCTGCAACCTATTATACAAAAAGAGTGTGGTAAATTTTAATATATAAATAATAAATATTTTAATTCATTTTATTAATATAAAATTTAAAAAAAATGTCTTTGACTAGCTTGGAACTTTGTATATTTTTTTATTATTTATTTATTCGAATATTTATTTATATTTATATTTTAATTCATTTTATTAATATAATGTCTAAAAAATTTTTTATATTTATATTTTCACTAATTTTTTAATATAATATCTAAAAAATATATTTTTGAATTTTATTAATATACTATTTTCAAAATATATCTTTAAATATTTATTTATATTTATATTTTAATTCCTTTTATTAATATATCTAAAAAATATATTTTTTAATATTTATTTGAATTTATATTTTAATTCATTTTATTAATATAATATCTTAAAAATATATTTTGTATATTTATACTTTAATTAATTTTTTTTAATATAATATATAAAAAATATATTTTTGAATTTTAATTAATATACTATCTCCAAAAAATATCTCTGACTACTTATTTTTATTTATATTTGAATTCATTTTATTGATATAAAATCTAAAAAATATATCTTTGACTATATTGGAACTTAGCACAGATTGAAAATGTAAGTTCATTTCGATTTTTTACAAATGAACTGAAATCGGGTTTCGCTTTATCAAAAATATTTCAAGCTACATGCCCTCTACCCAAATTACTTTGAGCCCATCGAGTGACGAGGCAAAAATGTTTTTTTTTTTTAAATTCGGTTTTAATGACAGAGTGGAACTGGAGATGGGTTGATATATGTCCAAGTCATGTGCACTTAATGCGTCTGTGCATAAGAAGCGCTGAGTGCGTCGATTATTGATTATAAAGAAACAGCAGTGAATCGTTGGAGGCGTGGACTGTGTGTTTGGGTAACATTTCGAACGCACTTGCGACTGGCACTCGGCGATTCAAACGACGACAAAACAGCTAACAGCTAACAGCTAACTGCCAACAAGCGGCACTACTTGGGCCAAAGCGCTTTCCCCCTCAAGCCAAAATCAAAGCCAGGCCAGAGCCAGAGCCGTAAGTCGTTAGCCGTATCCATATCCGGCATTAGTTGGAGTGTGCCATTTGCAAGCCACTTGTGGGACAAAGCATTTTGTCGATCCACTTGCAGAGGGGACACACTCACACACACACACATACATAATTGTGTGTAAATTTAGGTAATGGTCTATTTACTGAGTGCCTGAGTGAAGACCAAAAAATATTTGATTGGGCATGGCGAAACAACAACTGCAACAGTAAATGTCTATAAGACGACTTTTAATTTACATTTATACATGGCCATAATTTACATTGGTTGTTGCGGCTGTTGCTGTTGTCATTTGGTCTGTCGCACGCATTGCTTAACATTTCTTTATTATCGATGGCGAAACGAAAAGCAAATGCAGCAGGCAGCTGCTCACACAAAATCGACAAAAAAAGCCAAAAAAAAAAAAACAAAATTGTATTGCGTACAAATTGCAAAGCGAAATGAAAAGCTCAAGCTGCAGCTGAAATTCAAGCAACAAAATATCTAAATAAAATGCCAGCAATTCAGATTGTACAATGCTTGGCCAGAGGCTGTCGACAAATTTGTCAATTTGACGCCAAAGATGAAAAACTCACAGTGCATGCGACAAGTACATGTACGCATGCAACTTTTGGGCAACCGCAGCAATCGATCCAAATCGGACCGACAATTGCAGCCAAGTCCTTTGCATTTAAAGGCATATCGATTGGCTTCATTGGCTGGGTGACAGACAACAGGTTCAATTCGAGAATCACTTTTTAAAGAGTGCCGAGCCGCGCAGAGAGACGCCGTCGGCTGGCTACTAAATAACAACTTCTTTTTATGCCAGCCAGTTGGCTGATGATGTCGATAAGTTGCAACACAAACGCAGCAACGGCAACTGGACAACTGTGGCATATTTTTCTGTTGCCAGCAACAGCAACAGCAACTGCAACAGCAACTGCAGCTGGAACCTCGTTTCTTATGTAAGCCAGTCAGTCAGGCAGTCGCTCTTAGCTTTGCGTTACGCCTGCAAAAACGATTTCGTATATGGTTACTGCGTACATAATTGCAATATCTCATCCACAGTTGCTGTTGCTCTTGTTGCTGCTCTTAACGCCGATCGAGCTTTGCATAAAGTCTGCCTCGCGCTGGCCTTGAAAATTCAGCTGGCTATTTACATATATATATATATATATATATATATATATATATATATATATATATATATATATATATATGCCTGTACATTTGCATACATAGGCACATGCATGTACGCAGCCTTTGCAGCTTTAATTGCCCCACAATAGCCCGCTGAGAATTCGCATTAGAACTGGCAATGGCCAATGAAACCTAAACGACCCACACTTCAGTTCGTGGTTGGCAATGTCAACTAAGATATGATAGATCAGTCCTTGACATAGCTCAATTGTTCCTTTTATCTATCTCAGACTTGCTTGAAACTGGCTTCAGCTCCAAGCTGACTGAATCAAAGATCTTTGGTCACATTAACGAAAGATCTCATAGTGCCAAGTCTTAATTGATACAGACTCATCAAATATAGTTTTTAAGCAGTGATCTGCAGACATTGTTGCTAGCTAGGCAGCTCTACATCTGTTGAGCAAAGATTCAGACTATGTTCTTCAATTAATTTGGATGCTCGCTGACAACAATCTGCTGAAAATGGTTTTGTCATGTTCAAAGAAAAGTGTTAGCTGTAGGAGTTAACTGGAAAAAGAAAATGAAAAGAATTTTCCAAGATTTCACTAATATGGCAAATGATGTAAGTAAAGGATTTATATTTAAAGTCTTAAATCGCTTGCCTTTGCTAACAAGTTCGGTGTATTCATACGATGAACGAACGGACAGACGGACAAACATAAGACGGACGGACATGGATAGTCGATTCATCAAAAATACGAATTATGGTATTTGCCACGCCTCCTTCTGCCTGTTACACATATTTTCACAAAAGCATTAAAACTTAGCATCCCATTTTCAATAAGTTCAGGATATAAAAAGAGCTAAGGATATCCTTACAAAAGTATTACAGAAGCTGCAAAGCTGTGTAGTGGGCAAAAGTAAACATTCTGTATGCCCCTGATTTCTATTCATAGTGACAAGTTCGAGGCGTTTTCATGATCATTGCATGTGACTTTAAGCATAAATATGAACGTTGTCAGGTCACATGATCTCTCATCTGTAGAGCTGATGAGAAGTAGTCAAGCTTTTCAATTTGGCGACTTTGGGTGATCAAGATGTGCCCTTCAGCTCAGGTAGGCATCGCCATAAGCTCTTAACATT